ATCATAGGGAATTAAATTTTGCATAATAAACGTGTACAATTTTTTATTTTTAACAATTTTCTGTAATCGCCAAAAATAAAATTCTAAAATTAAAAACATGCAAAAACAAATTTTTTTTTTAATTTGACCTAGTTTTTAAGGTAAATATTACATTTTTTTTGAAAAATCATACATTTCACACCGTAGACTAGTTTATTTTACATCAAATTAAAAACAAAACAAAACATAAAACCCGAATTATAGAAATTTGAAAATAATTATTTCTATATATTTTATAAGAGAGTGGCTGCGATCTAAAAAAAAAATGCCTATATTTTATTAAAAAATAAATAAATTTAATACTAAAATGTAGGAAAAAATTGCACTTATAATTTATTGTTTATTTGATAATTGTATAAACATTAAAATATAATATAAATATTTAAAAAAATGTTTTCATCGTCCGTGTTTTTTTTTTTGTTCATCTTTGTTCTTCTTTTGTTCACTACATCTTACATATTTTTTATAACTTTATTTCTAAGGATATTTTTTAAAACGGATTTGACGTTCTCTCTAAAATGTTATTTTCTTTGGGTTGACTAAGAAGCATTGTGCGTGGTTAAGTTTAGACGCTTGAAAATTAAGTGCATAATATCGTCACTTCATAAAATCCAACTTAAATAACAACATTAAGTTAAACACTTTTTTCTAATTACTATTTTGAATAGTGTAACACACCTTTTCGATGCAATGCAATTTAAATAGTTAACAGACTTGTTTTTATCTTCATTATAGTTCAATAACTAATTTAGGCCAAATAAATATCTTTTCAAGTTAGATTTCTTTCTTTCAACATAAAAAAATCAGTTTAACAGTCTAGGAATAATTGTGAGTGGTAAAAAAGTGTATATATATTTATATATTTATTTATCATATAACTGGCAAGTGGCATAAAACTGCCTTGCAAAACCATACTTAACCTTCTCGTCTCTGCACCGAAGGTAACTGTGATTAATATAAAATGGTTTTTATTTATTATTATTCGCAGATAAAAATGAAATTCTTCTGTTTATTAACATATTTTTTCTTCGTAGTTGTTTTGGCAAATGAATATGATAATTATTTTATTTGCACAGTTATCGACTAAAGGTAGTTAAAATTTGAAAAAAAATTCATTATTTCACTTTTTTATAGAGTATTTTAATGGATTATGTTTTCATTACAAGTTAGTAACATTTTTATTCTACAAACAAATGTTTTTTAAGTTTTTAAAATCCACTGCTTTTATACATATTTTTTAAATTATGTATCAGCTGAAATCGTCAAACTTGCTCATTATAAAAATGATTTAACTGTGGAAGGTAGATCTGGAGCAAATAAGATACTATATTTAAAGTAATATAAGTACTAATGTATTATATAGAAGCTTTGTTATATGTACCTAATTGTCAAGTTGTTAGTAAACGAAAAATTATAGTTTTTTTTAATAGTTAAGAAAAGTACACTAGATATGTAGAATAGTGTACAGAGCAATATAATACCAAAATCTTCATTTGTTTATTCTAGATGGATTGGAGCATGTAATTAAGACAATGGTTGATGATGTCAAAAATGACAGTACCTACAACGATTTCTGTAATCATAGTTATAATAATAATAATAAAAAACCATCAGGACAAGAGTAGAAAAAAATACTTGAAAATAATATAAAAACTGCATATCAAATTTTTCTTTATGCAATAATTGATGAGTGTTGTAATTATTATATTTTTCACAAAAATATAAATAGAAGCTTTGGGGGAAAATACTGATGTTAGCTCCATCAACCTCGTCTGTTTAATATATTATTTTATTCTCATCGCTTAAACTACTCATCAACTCAGCCATTACATATCATGGGTATTCTCTAGTCTATATATTATAGTTTTTTTTTCTTTGACCTTCGTCTTCTAATTTATAATTATAATATAATGTAATAATTTATTATAGCAAATCCAATTCGATGTATGATTAATATATGTAATGTCAATTTCAGGCACAATTCATTTTTTGATCGCTGTACCGGGTAATTGTTTTTTGTTGAATTTTATGAAATTATTTCCTATATTTTAATCCTATAATGAATTTTCCAAAGATTTTTCATGTTTCTCATTAATTTATGTGTTGTTAATTTTAGATCAAAGGGAAATCATTCCCAGAATTGAAGGTAATCATTTTCATTGTACTTAACGGAAACCACTCAGTTTTTTTGTTATTCTTTATGCATACGAGATTTTTATTTTTATTTCAGCATTTCCAACTCTTCACTATTGCAAAGTAAATATTTTTATATTTCAAATTTCATACTTATAAATATTTTGAGAATAATCATAATATGTACCTATTGACAAACACCAATGTGATATATAATGGGTTTCAATTATAAAAAATATGTAAGTACATTTAAATATATCTTGTTTTAAATTTTAGAAACCAATTATTTCCTCCAAAAAATTATAAACGACATGGAACGTATATTAGGTAAATGTAAAATTTTTAAAAAAATAGCCACATATTTTTGTAGTTTTAAAGGAAAACTCGATTTATAAACGAAAGTTATAAAACTATATAGATATGTTTTATGTTTAAGCTTTTAAGAACCGTTCGAAAAATAATTTAAACCGTTTATTTGAACATCGCTATAATATAAAAATGATTTTTTAAATGATTTATACAATAATATTTTGAATTAATAATTATTGATCTAATTAATCTCAGTTACAGAGTGAATATTATGTATAAAATATATTAACCTGGTTTTATTAACTGCATAATGATTTCATGTTTAATGTATTTGTTGTAGGATTTAAATATTATGGATTCGATGAAAACCTAAGTAATTACAATTTTTTTGAAAATCGTAAATAGCATTAAAAGCTTGTTTTAGAGCTGTCGATATTTGCTTAGTTTTATTTATTTAATGTTTTATGTCGAAACATTTTATTTTGATAAACTAAACTTTTTGTTGAGGAGAGAGAGAGAGAGAGTGACTACAGTGTTAATGTGTAATAAATTCTTTGGTATTTCAAGTATAGAAAGAATACATTTGTTGAGTTTTAAGACTAATAAGTGGTTGTACACAAAAAGTTGGCTGTTTCGCAATTCTTTGAAATGTAATACAATAATTATGTATAAGAAGAGACTAGAACATTATTCATTTTTATTATAAACTTGGTCATTACACATCATTATTTTCATAGAATTGGGACCATTGAAATCCCTTGCAGGCAAGAGAAGAAAATATGTTGTTCTAGCTTTAAAGAGTATAATCAGACGTCGTGTATTAGGTAAATATTATTATGGAGTTATGTGGTTTTTGAACGCAATCAATATATTTATGTTCAATTTAATAACGAGTAAGCTAATTTGAGTAAATTAAAAAAATATATATATCAAATTTTTTAGATAAATCTGTGAAGCATGTAGACGATGATGCCTCTTTATTACTGAATTGTCGTTTGCTAGGATTATACTTGAGTGCACAATTTCCAATAATATACACAAAAAAACTTGAGATTGACTCAACTGACCGTACGTGCATCTTAGCGGATAAATATGGTGCCATAAGAAGATACAGAAAAACAACTGATGACATAAACCAACCATTAAAATCACTTGAGGAACAGTTACGACTTGGACGTTCACAAGTTCCATCCACATCCTAACCTAATGTTAGACAAAAACACTAGCATTTGTATTCTGTTCATTACATAATATAGTATAATTTATATTAATATTATTATCACTTTACACATTATAAAATTATTTTATATCATTATATTTTGTATAATATTTTAAAATTTCAGATTTTAATCAAATCTGAAGTTGTAAAATATTATACATACACAGTGAAAGATTTTTCAATAACATTTTCCATATAATACATTTTTTTGTTAGTACATAATAAGATATGGCGTAAAACAGAAATAGACATCTATTTCTGTTTTATATCATATCTACCAATATAAAAAATAATTACCGAACAAGTAAAGTTGTATTTTTTTATCTAATCTATTCCTACTATTTATTTATGCTTCTAAATCCATTCCTTATTGTTCTACCTTTATTAAATGACTGTGCAAATTCGGGTGCCAGGTTCATCGTTTATATTTCTAGGAGACAATTCGTCCTAATGGTTATTTTATAGAGATTTGATGTTAGAGGTAACATAACCTAATTGGAATTCTAATGTGAGTGTCATAATAATAAAACAATGTAGAATATAATATTATATATATATATAGAAAAAATATCCTGGCTGGTCAAACACAATGGTATTGGATTGGCTTGAATATAATTTAATTAAGAACAATGCAAGGTACGAAAACTAATCCTACATAATATTTTAAATCAAAAATAATTGTCGATTTCAATTTTTTTTTTTTTTGCAACGAATTATTTAATGCTAAATTCCAAATATGTAAAATTGTTTATGTGCATGTGTATTGATTTAGTGAAGTGTTTTTTTTTTTGTGAGCTATTACTCATGTTTTGTTATTCTCATTGCTACGAAACTAAAAAAATAAGACACTAAAAACAATGAAAATGTATTGTATTTTTGCACACAGGGTCTTTTATGTCTAACGCATTAAATAGTACAAAACATCTGGTACATAGACTATTGCACCAAAATATGGTTTTATATAACTTTTGCCGCCTAATTAGGTTTACTAACTTTTTATTTTGCAAATTGTGTTATTTAATTTGCTATAGATAATATATTATCAAAATATGCAAGTATAATTAATATTAGTATTAAAATATGAAAAAGCGAGATACTGCTAGCGCTCCTCGTGGGTTAATCGTGGAATTTGTTATTTTTCACTGATGATCCTTGTTATATAATTCAGTCGCGTTTATGATAAAAGCCGGGTTTAGTTATCACTTATCAGTAATTATACTGATAAGAAATGCCGCCGCCCGCCTTTCGAATTATTATTCCACTATCCGTATATCCATTCGTCATTCGATAAAAAGTAAAAACTATTTTACCTTGAATATTATGAGGCTTCATTATTGAACTATGACTATATTATCAAAACAAAGTTTAAAACATTAAAATATTTGTCATAAACGTATAGTGGTGTAATTAGGAAAAAATACGAAGCAAAATAACTGTCCCGTCGTGAACAAAATATTTTAACGTTTTTCTTTTCTTTATTTTTTCAGTTAAGTTGCAGCTGCGTTATTATAATATACAATGTCTGCCAAGGTAGTGTAATACTTAGTAAATAATATTCTTTATTTATCATAATATAACAGTTAGTTTATACTTCTTTTCCTCATAATGAATAAAAGCTATTTAAACGTTATTGGTAAAGAATACTTTGTGGTTAATTTTTAGAGTCTTATAAAATATGAATAAGTATAATTTTAGAATTGAATTGTTTTACTTGGCTGATTCATCTATCGTGACAAAGTAATTAATGGTATTAAAATTAGGTACACTGCGACCACTAATTTTTACTTTCTTTTTATTATGTTTTAAACATACATGCAAATATCTACAATCGTCCAATCTACACCATTTGTAGTAAAAATTCATTAAAACCCCGTTTCTAGCACACCCAATAATTACAAAGAAACAACAATAATGATATATTAATATTTTAATTTTAGTTGGAATTTGCGGTCCAAATGACGTGTACTTCTTGTGTTGAGAAAATTCATGAAAAACTTTGTCAAATTGGAGTACCAAAGAGTGACATACAAGTGTCATTAGATACGGGTATAGTCATTGTTGACACTAATCTGCCATCATCACTGATATTAACTACAATAGAATCAACTGGAAATAAAGCAGTCCTAAAAGGTTATGGAAGTAGTAGCCGTAAGTTGTATTTCTTTTATAGTTTTTTTAATTTTATACTAAATTTTATATTATTGATTGATTTAAAAAAAAGATTTTAACATTGGTGCTGCTGTTGCTATGTTGGGCGGAACGACTGGGCATAGTGTTTCAGACATTAAAGGTGTTGTGCGGTTTGTGCAATTAAATGAAAAACAGTGCATAGTCGACGGTACAATTGATGGATTGTCACCTGGAAAACATGGTATACATGTATATGAATGTGGAGATTTATCTAATGGATGCGATAGGTATTAGTATATGAAACAAATATTGTAATTATTGAACATAAAGTAGTTATTTTTGATTTCAGCATTGGTAATCACCTTAATTTAAAACAGACACTTCACGGTGATCGAACTAATGATGAAAATCATAGGGTATATTATACTTTTGGATTTTTGTGTTGTTAATATTATATTAAAATAGTGTATATTGGTAAGGTGCTCTTAGTTTAAGATCCTTGATTATGCCTGATGTAAAAATATAACTACGGATAATGTGCTTTAATTGCTTACTCCCTAATAGTTGGATAACCCAACTATAACTAGACAACTTTTTTATAATCCATCTTGAATTATAAAAAAGTATTCTGTTGTCAATCTCAAAAGTAGCCCATTGACCACAGTGATGGAAATATCAAGATTTAACGGGTTATATGGATTTTTTTTTAAATATTGGTATCATAATTATGTGATTAATTTAGTTTGTAAGTAATCAAGTGAAAATGTTGTCTAGTTGATTAAAAGTATTGTTAAATAACAAACAAATATATTTAAAAAACTACAAAATTACTATTATTGTCCGTTAGAAAACCAATGATATTAGAATTTGTGGTAAAGGTAATTTAAAGTACATGAAAAAAAAAGCAATTTAAATCAACAAAAACTACCTACTATGAGTATAGTAGGTAGTTTTTGTCGTTACTTACTCGTAAGTAAATAGCAACTGGTAATAATTTTAAATGATACATAAATTATTGTAGGTAAAAAAAGTTATTGCCCTCTGAAGTTTGCAAATTTTGTCGTTTTTCTTGAAATGAACATGTTTGACAACAGGTCCCTTTTTGCTTTCTGCATCACATTCAATGTAATATAATAAAACACAATATCTGGTTACATGTCTTTTACTTGAATGTTATCTCACTCAACCGGCTCAATTAATAAGTTATGAAAAAGTACTGTATTACCCTTAATGTGAATCCAATAGAAGTTACTGTTTTCAGAATAACTTATTTGTATATTTAAATCTATATTTTTGTTACAGCACACGGGAGATCTTGGTAACATTATTGCGGATGAAAAAGGCAGAGCAAATTTTTATTTTAAAGATGATGTATTGAATGTTTCAAATTTAATTGGCCGTTCTGTTGCTGTTACTGAAAATGAAGACGATTGTGGCAAAACTGAAAACAGTAGATCTCAAGTTGATGGCAATTGCGGGAAAAAGTATGTTACCTTTTAAAGATATTTGTTAAAAACCTCTTTTAACGCAAAATGAGACACTTTACAACAATTTTAATGTATAATATACATATAAAAATGTTATCATCGTTGGTAATTGCCGAAGACAGAATGATTTTTGATACTGTAGCGCTCATTTGATAATATTTTATTTAATATATGTATGTGAATATTTTTGTTTTTAGGCTAGCATGTGGAATAATAGCCAGGTCTTCGGGTTTATTTGAAAATAATAAAAAAATTTGTGCTTGTGATGGTGTTACATTATGGGAAGAAAGAGATGTTCCATTAGCTGGTCCTGGCAGGCAAAGAAATAAAAACAATTGAATAATTATACATTTATGTGATTAAAATTGTTTATAATTGTATATTAAAAAACAAAATTAGTTCAAAACTGGTAAGCGCAAAGGTATTTCAAGTGATAAAAATAAAGATATACTACACTGACTTAATAAAACATTGTCTCAATTGTTATATGATATTCAAAAGAGATTAACCGTTAAATATAACTGTTTGTTTAATAAAACAAACAAAATATAGCTAATGTACATTTTTAGCCATAGAACAGAGGTCATTTGATGGTGAATTTAAAGGATTATTAGTTGTTGTATTCATAGCATCACTAACAAGCTGTTGTATATTGCTTGGCAATGTGCTTACATCATTTGGAAACTGGTCTAAATTCAAATCTGAAATGTGAAAGCTAGATTAATAAAGTCATACTACTATGAATAACACTTAGTTAATTAATAGAAATTGGGTAAAAATAAAGTTGATAAGTGGTAATCAAATCACTTCTTGGTTTCGGTTGGAAGCTATGAAATAAATATTCGGGCTCAACTTTGACAAATATTAATATGTTTTTTTTTGTTCTGACTTTTTCAGAATACATATTATTTTTTTGGTTCACTTGTATATAAGATAATTTAAAAAAAATGATTATAATAAATAAATAAATGTAGTACAGAACCAAGTTAAGATAAAATAAAAAGTATAGTGGATTGAATTAGAGAAAGAAAGGAAGGATGTAAGTTTTTAAATAAATAACCTAACTTTTGATGATTATATAAAAACAGTTATTATAAACTTACTGTAAATAGAATGATTGTCTTCATTCGAGTTTGGGGATTCATCAAATTCTAAAATGTAAATTTAATAAATAAACATAAATAACAAATAAACAACAAATGGTTTACCTTCATTCAAACTGGCATCACTATCAGTGTCATCAGATGTGCTCATATTGCATTTATCGAGCAAGACTTGTGAAGGTGATAATATCGCTTCACCTTGGTTAATTGACTTAATTTGTTTTTCCAAATCTTCCAATCTTTTGGCCAATATTCTATTTAAGTATAATATGATCAATTATAATAAATATGTAATACATAATTTGGTAATTAAGAAACAATATTGTATACAAATATACTATTTTAAAAATAAAAAGTTTTATAAACACTGTTTATTGAGTCTTAAATGTTATAGTGGTTTTAAACAAGTATTGTTGAAGACCACCTCTACTGAACAACGCCACCCCCCCCTTTTAAATAATATTTAAAAATATATAAATATGAGATATATGCATTTATACTTGTTAGTTTTTTTCTGATGATTAAGCGCCAATGTTTTGTCTTGTAAAGCTTCGAACAATGTCTGGCACAATTTTCTCATGTCTGCAAGAGTTGTACTGTTGGAAAATAATGCTTGTAAGTTTCCAGATTCCAAAATTTGTTGCACTATATTATAAAAACAATTTTTTAAAACATGACTAACTATCGTTTATTGATTTTTAGTTAATGGACTAACTTTGTTTACAAGCTGCTACTTTCCGTGTTAATGATGAATTAGTAATGTTAGATAAAGACATTTTTTGATTTGAATTTGATAAGTTCTAAATACAAACATAAATTTATAGTCTAGTTTATTTATTTAACATTAAAATTTTAAAAATATACATTTAAGCCACAACAGTATTTAACGCTAAACGTTTATTGATTACTATATTAGAAATTGTAGTAACTAACTGTTAATTTCTGAACCGTTAGTTACTATATAGACAGCCTTAATTAGGAGTCAAGCTGATGACCCGACTCAGAAAAGGAAACTACCATTCTAGACAGAGTTAGAAATAGTCCTACATAGGCTATTTAAGCTCTTTCCGATAATTAAAAAAGAGTGGCCAACTCAAATTTACAATCGTCACTTATCGCTTTAAATCACTATTGAATTTTGTAGTTAATAGTTATGACGATAAACTTAGGTTGGTCACGCATCTAATTAAAGCTCTTAAGTATTATTTAGTGCACACTATCCAGAACAACCGAAAGAAAAGTGCAGAAGTTACAATGGTCTGCAAGAAAATAAAATTATTCTAGGTTAGCTGGCTCTTTGCAAACGTATGTTTTTTTATATTTTTGAGTGAAAAAACCTTAAGAACACCGATGATGGTAATATTACTGCCGAAATACGCATATACGCTTAAGTGTATTATTTTTTTAAATATTTCATTATTTTATTTCTTGACTAGAATAGGTTTTCTATTTAATTTTTGTTGGTAGTAATATTTGTTCAGATTAATCTAGAATGCAAGAAATCTAAGAGCTACTAACAATTTTTATTGCAGACCAAAGTTATAAAATTAAATACATAGTTTTACATTTCTACAAAATACCATAAGCTTAAAGCGACATAAACCTGGAAAAATGTTTTGTTTTTTGTTACAATGTCCTTTTCGGCCACCTCTAATCGTAGTCTTTCATTTAAATACCTAAATTGCATGCATATATATATATATTTAGTTATTTCTATACATAATGTAGAAAGATAACACAGTTTATGCGTACTTGTTTTCTGATAATATACTATCAATGTCAATAACAGGTTGTTTTTTGTTTACATTTAATGCAGCTCCCAATTCACTATTTAATCGTTTTATTTTCTTTCTAAATCCATCTCGTTCAATAATTAATTCTTGTTTATCATCTAATAGTAAGGCGAAATCAAGTTTTAATTGTTGATACTAAAATAAGTCCAATGATGAAGTATAATATGAGTTACATTTTTCAGTTGTATTAAATCAAATAGTGTAAATCCGTAACATACTTTCGAATTAATTATTTCTAAATTTTTTACAAGTTCTTCTTTACCATTTGTACTTATTAAAATTGTATTAATGCAGTCTTTGACAAATCCACCAGCTCGTAAGACCTGATGACAAAAAATATAATATATAATGAAATATGAATACATTTATATAACATGAATTAATTCTATACTCGAAAGTATATTTCGTAAAGAGCGCAAACTATCAAATTTTAAATTTAAATTGACAGTTAAAGGCAGTTTGTGTTTAATGAGCATTTTTTTCATTAGAGAGATAACATACATTTAAATATTTTATTTTTATTTTAGTACTATAAACATTTTTTATGTGATAAATCACGTAGCTTAATAGGCATAATGGCCCAACACTGCCATCATGAAATAGTTCTTGACAAATTCGCTATCCGGGACGGGTCGGCAGTCTGTTGCTGGAGAGGTGGATGGCGGCTCCTTTTTCACAGGACGGTTGCTTGTCTAGCAAATGGAACGCCCTGAGTTTGACTGAGTGTCGAACCAGTGACAGTGAGCGCTAACATACTGCCACCTTACCCACTCCTTCTTAAGTGATATTAAGTTATTAAGTGATATATAACCAATATAATTATAGAGCTAGATCATTTTTACAATATAATAATTAATTAGTCATAACTAATAACTACACATCTCTCACTTGATTGTCTCCTTGAGCATCGCGTAGCTTTTGTCGGATATCTTCTGTTTCTAATCTTAAAAGTTTATTTTCTTCTCTTAATTTACTAAGAAGTTTATCATAATTTAATCCTTGAGAATTCTGAAATAGTCAATATAGTGTACAATTAATATTAATCAAAGATATCTATACTGAAGTACACATACAAATGGATTGATGTGTAAGTACAATTTAATTTCTAAATAAAGCACGAGTTTGTACTAGGATAGAGCAGATCACCATTTAATGGCAATTAAAAATCAAACTCAATGAGGCTAGATCCCCCCCCCCCAAATTTGATGCTTTACCCACTATGCCACACAAGTTGACTATTTTATAAACCGTACACTGTTGTAGGTATTATGAAACACTTGATTCTCCAAAATTATCTTGTAATGATCACGTTCTATTCTACATTTTTCTAGTTCTTCAGTCAACACAGTTAGAGCTGCAGTTTTGCTATTGAGTTTACATTCCAAAATAGTACTCTGAAATTAGATTTAATAAACAAAAAATCTACATCAGTATCATAATAAAACTTCAACGCTCGAAAAGCTACAACATATTTTTATTTCAACAACTCACATCCATTTGAAACGATTATAATAGATGTTTGTTTACGGTAATTCGTGTACAATTCTGTACTCGAACGTTAAACAAAAATGTATGGTGAAATGAAGTTGACAGCTCAACAGTATTGCGCGTTTTATAGAAGCTCTAGTCTCTACACATAGAAAAGTAAATACAGTGGTATTAGTAGTATGTTAAAATAAGTTTGAAGAAGATCTATTTGGAAAAAGATTAGTTAATTAGATTAACAGAAATAGTAGACCCTTTATTTTGATATAGGTGCAATTATTTATTCATAAATCATAATATTTTTATCTACTGATTAGAACTTAATAGTCCATAGATTATCTTTAATAATACCTATGGTCGTGATAACGAGAAACGGAGTTGGGCTCTTTTTTATAGTCTTCATGAAGTGTACAGTGTGGTTCTTATCGTGTTTACCGGTCGGAATATTTGTGTTTGCTACACTGTCAAATTTGTGTTGATATTTCATACTAGCTAACACTTAACCTCTTTGCTTTGTGTAGGAATTTACTACCTATGTTTCGTTACTTCCACAGACTCTCTGTCCCCCTGTTGGTTAATGAATGGTTATTCGGAATTCAGATTCATTTCGTCTTCACAATTGAGTGTTGACAAATTGCTTACCAGTTTGCACTGACTTCCTATTTGTGCCTGTTGGAGTACCGAAAAGAAAGGCGTTTCAGAAAATTATCAGTTTAATAACTTAAAAAAAATTGCGGTTTGTGTCTACAAAAAAAAATTCTTACCAAGTCATAGTGACATATTGTGCTTCTGTTTTTAATGTATATTTTCGTTTGTGTGTTTCGTATCAATAAAATTGAATTTTAAATACCGTACTTGGAAACATTTTAAGGTAATAAGTTTGTTCAAAGTATCTTTCGTTCATATATTAATCTTATTTGATAGTCAGTAAATGCGTAAAAAGATAATTGAGGATTCAAAGTATAAGCTTATGAAACGATAACCTGGGTATATAATATATGTTGCGTTTTTCATTATCTCTTAATTCCATCAAGCTAGGTCTATTTATCATGTAAACGCTAATACTTGTTTTTATCTGTAAGTATACAATTACAATTTTCTTAAAGCATAACTTAGCTTCAAATTAGCACAAATGGTTTAATGATCAAAGATTTACCTTATTTATTCTCAAGGTGTGGTCTCCTACCAGCCAAAAACTATTAGCAATATTTTCTAAAACTATATTAAAAAAGTTATTTCATTATTTATGATTTCTAACATTAATTATGTTAAACAGCTTAGCAACCTAAAATATATTTAATAAACGTACAAAAAAATATAAATTTTAACACATCTACTACTATACAAATAAAAGATTAAACTAGCACAGTGTAGTTAATACATATTAGAATCAGAGAAGCCACAAGTACTTAGAAATATTTGTAATTTAAAGTAATAAAATTACTTAAAAATAAACCCTTTGATGATGCAAAACTACTGATGGTATTAATTATTAAATATACATTTAAATAATGTATACACAATAAATGGGATTATTATTGTGTTATATATTTTTTGGGTGTTTTCTTCAATTCAAAAGTGATTTAAATATTAGTAACCTAACATTTTTTTTTTTTTTTATGATAATATGTATTGCATTAACTTTTTAAACTCGGAATAATCTACCTACTAAAAATGATCAATTAAGTAATTGTTATCCTTACAAAATTTAAAGTAGTTTTCGAGTATGATTTCTTATCTTGAAAGTTCCTACACATTCGGTCTGCTAGTTAAAAGTTGTATAAATGGTTTAAGAAATACAAATCTTTTTAGCTATGTATGAAGCTAAACAGAATGGTTGCATAAAAATTTAACCATGAAGTCTATTCTAGTTGATTACAATACAATTATTATAATTAAATCTGCTGTGTTTTTATCTTTATGACAATTGTAATTAACTTTAATTTGTTATAACCCTAGGAACTCCAGCCTAAGTAGATAGAGCTATAATACTGGTAAAATACTTATGTGAACCTCTCCCATATGTAGGTGAAAAAAGTAATATAAATTGTTCTTAATATGATTGGTTAACATTTCTTACTCACTTACTTTTTTTAACAATTCTATTAAAATCGTAGTTGTGTACTGCAATGCAAATAAGACTTATGAATATTTATGTAGGTATAATAAAAAATGGAATAATTAGAAGTGAAATATAGCATTTGGCTAGTTTAAACTTTGTATACATATTGAATATATTGTCATTGCTGTGAAAAAACCTCCTATTTGCCAATTTTACAATTTTGAGGTTTTGGTATCTCTGGATACAGAAAAAAATAAGCTATCGAATGATAAAATCTCCAACGTGCTATCTCCATTGTCGAATAAATAAAAAATATGTTAAATAACAAATCTTATAGTAATATGCTTAATTTGAATTTATGCTTTAAACATTTAGATTTAAGAAAAAAAATCTTTTAATAGGTTACAGGGATTTATGATTGGAAAACATTTTTTTACTCCCATAATTGTTTGTTCATCCAAATGAATTAATAATTTGTAATGTACATACTACAATTATATGTTATTATTAAGGTTAATGGCAGATTCGAACTTAATGGATCCAGAAGTGGATTCAACACAACAAGAGTTTAGTAATGCTCAAAATAGCGTGGATCCATTTGAAAATGAAAATATGGATTCCAATGATCAAGATAGTAATATGAATTCTAATCATCAGGACAATATGAATTCTGAAGACGTTGATTCTATGGATAACTCTTATAATCAAGAAAATGGACATCAATTTAATGAAAACGAAGGAAGAACATCTTTTAGGTACTTTACAGTTAATTATTTATTATGAATTTAAGGGGATTGAAAGCAGTCAGTTTCGGTATAGGAGTTCTCTGGCTACTTCATTAGGTTATGTAAGAAACAAATTTTTGATTTTTTTTTCAACAAACTGAATTTATAAATGAAAATCAGGTTCCTACATAAACTAGTAAAATAGTCAAAGAACTCTAAACTTTTTACAGAGATTAAATCAGACAATCTAAAGTAGGCGTAATTTTGTCAGACTCTTACATCTAAACTACCACCAAAATGTTGTTTACTCATTGAACAAATTGTACAAGTTAAAAGTCATACTTTGAAGCTTATACAAATTCATCTGTTAATAAATTGACACTGTCGAAATTTATTAATATCACTTTTTTCTTGAATATTGCCTATATAAAACTTCTCAAAACCAGTCCCCTTAAAAATTAAAAATTACTTTTTTTCCCCCAATAAAAAATGAGAAATGTAGTGTACTCAGATGGCCTTTTTTGCAGTTTTGGAGAAATTACCATTTAGTAGGTACTAAATTTGATCTTTATGCCCCAAATACATTGATAATTGTATTTTGTTTTATTTTGTGTTTTAATAATACAGGATGGGGCAATAAAATTAAGCAGGTTTGAATGGGTTTATTTAAGAGGACGCTACCCAGGCCATTTCAAAGGAGTAAAGTATAGGCAATTTTTCCAAAAATCTTAAATTAGAGTTTGAACTATAATGTATACTTATTAGTACAGTAATGAGGATACTTTGTTGATTGCCATTTTTTTGTCACACTATCATAGTCATTTCTACAGGATAAATTACAATTTTTTTCTAATTAAAACTGCTTTGTGCAGGACAAGTATGTGAGGCCAGTATAAACAGTAAATTTACCAAATTTTCACAATATATAGAAAAGAACTTTATCCACGGGGTAGCGTTTTAATTTTTTCGATATCTATACTTAATATTTTTTTATAAGCAAACTTAATGAATATTTATGAATAAATCATTTTGATTGTGCTTAAGCTATCAAAAAACCAAAAATACTACCCCGTTGATTAAATTCTTCACTATCCATTGTAAAAATTTTATATGGCTACTCTAAATACCGCCCTCACATTTTTGTCCCCTGCAAAACCTTTTTTTGTAGATAAATTACGGGTGGGTATCGTCCTCTTAAATAACAAAAAAGTAATTTTAATTTTTAAATTCTGTATTACAACATTTCATTTCATTAAGTTTTGAAATTGAATCGGTCATTTCAAAAACCACATAAGTCAACTTTTTTTCAAAATGGCTTTTTTGGTCGCAAACTATTGCTTGAAGGTAGACCTATAATCCATGTTAAAACAACATTAGTCAGGTAATTCCTTCTCCATTTTACAGCGCCCTCTTAATAACGTTCATTGGTAAAACAACCTAAGTCAATGACTAATGTGGTTTTTACATGCATCGCAAGGTAGCGCGCACACAAACATGTCAGATTAGCACCATAAAGAAGACTCAAGCGTCTGTTCTGTGAGGTTCTGTGATTTAGATTAAATTGTTTGTTTACGTTTGTTCCATAATAAATTTTGATAAATTACAATTTTTAAGGAGTATCTTCAATATTTTCATTAAATATATGACTATTATCCTCATTTTTTTCATTTTATATATACATTAACTCCGTTTCCTGCTAAAACAACATAAGTCAATCTCAGTTTTTCTGGGTTTTCTCTTTTAATTTTCCATGATTTGTGATTTTTTTTTTTTTTTCAGCGTATTTAGGTCTAGTTGTTACATTTAGCTGAAAAAAATTCTTAAAAATTCGTTAAGGTGTGAGTAGCACAGTTTTTATTGCCTCCTGCAAATTTTTAAATTGGTGACTTAGGTGGTTTTTGAAATGACAATTATAATGTCTTTGAGATGGAGGCCGTAACACATTGATGGCTCACTAAAGTTTTATGCAGCTCTTTGCTATATATTGAGGGGTATGGTGCTTACTTCTTTGCTAATCTCAAACCTTTAACTCTTTTAAAGTGTGAGAGAAATGTTTTAATACTTTTTCTTCAAGTATTCTTAAAAAATAAATCACAATGCACTCGACATCACCGCTTAGAGAGATCAGACGCCCGGGAGACATTGCTCTTAAAACATCAAATGAATTTCGGGTTATGTAAGGTGTGGACTCATCCTGTTAGAACCACAGATCCTCTCAAGTCTTTTTCTTCAATAATCTGTTCTAATTTAGAGTGCAGATAGTGTTCCCATTTGGAACCAAGTTAAAGCATCACTAAAATGCTCATCGCGTCGCGATAACAGAACGGTTGTTTTCTAAATACGTCAGTATGAAAATAACCTCAAATGTTCTCCAGTCCAAACTATGGTTGCTCCAAAAAAAGGTGACCAACTGAACCGAACTTGGTCATTTAAAACTTTTTTCCCTCACCATAGTCTGAGCAGTGACTAATCAAATCCACTTAATTCATTTAACCCCACTCTGTATTAGGATTAAATTGAGACCAACATAAATTAATATTGATTTAATTGTATTTTTATTTTTTATACAATTATATTGCATCTATTTATTATAATTATATTTTTATTTTCTATTGGTTTTATTTTATATTATTATTTATTACGTAATGAAATTTTAGAAATTTAACTAAATTTGTATCATTAATTTTGTTTGTTTAGAGATTTTGATGATGAAAACGGACAATTTGGTAGTAATAAGGAGACTTCAGATCCAAAGTTTAGAGGTCCATCCAATTGGAATTCTGGTAGAGGGAATAATGATAATGGAAGATTTAGAGGGGGAGATACAGGTGATTTTAATAGTCAAAATGGTAATTTTAAACCTCAAAGGAGTAGGTGGTCGGAAAATGCAGATGAAAATTGGAATGGGTCATCTCAAGAAAAATCTCCAAGTATGATGAATGGACCCAACAGCCAAGGCGGACCACAGTTTGGAGGACAAGTACCACCAATATTTAATGGACAAGATCCCAATGGTCAAATCGGAGCTCCTCCAGCTAACCAGTTACCTTCATTATTACAAGTAAATTACGCTTAAAATAAAAAAATTATATTATTTAATCGATAAATGGAAGTCGTTAGTTTTTAGCCAATTGATTTCAGTGTAAAGTATGTTTATTTAATGTATACCCTTTTCTATTTTGTAAGTAAATAGACCTTCCATAACAATAATAAAAAAAGATTTTGTAAACAACATTAATATAGAGCCTTTTCTAAAAGTATTTTTTTATCTTGGCATCATTTTTTATATTTTTTTATATTACTTAAAATTAGCCTTTTAATTTCGGAAGTATAATTAAACCAACATAATTATGTTTGTAAACACATTTGACATTTTAGATGCCCCCTGTAGTACCACCAACTGGAGGAATTCCACCTCAAGGTCCTCCACCAATAATGTCTGGAGAAGTTTGGATTGAAACCAAATCAGGCGATGGGAAACCATATTATTATAATGCTAGAACACGTGAAACTACATGGGATAAACCTTCCGGACCAAATATATCTGTCATTTCTCAAGAACAAGTATGATATGAAAATAAATTTATATTTATGTACATAAACAAAAATGTTCACATAAAACATGTATTCTTAATAGGTTGAAACCCTCGGAAATCCAAATGCTGCTCAAGCCACTTTTGGTAGACCTAATGAATGTGAACAAACGCCAAATAATGCTGATATGAAAGTTATTGATGAAAAAGCCATGGGTAATGAAGCTAATTTGTTTTATATTTACAGTAGATATTTTAAAAGTTTTTATTTATAATTAGGAAATGAACAAGGAGCATTTATACGAACACAACAAAATGTTAGTGTTCCACCAATGAGTGGAATGCCACAAATGATGCCTCCAATGATGGGCCCACCTCCAGGAATGATGCCACCTAACACAATGATGCCTCCACCTAATTTCCCACCCTTTGGTGGACCACCTCCATTTGGTATGCCACCTCCAGCGTTTTCTCAGGCCCCTTGGGGTATGATGCCTCCAGGATTTGCACCTCCATCTATGATGATGCCAGGAATGGAGCTCAACAATAAAGTACAATTTGACACAACAGTCCTTAACAAATAATTTAAATAATACTATTTTAAAAATTTAGATTGATCCAGTAATTCTTGCTAATGCTGCTGAATGGTCCGAACATCGTTCACCTGACGGACGAATGTACTATTACAGTATGAAGACATCAGAGTCTGTCTGGGAAAAACCAGAAGCATTGAAAAAACTTGATAGTAAGCTAAACATATATTTTATTAAGATATAATCATGCAGTTTTTGTAATTTGTATCAAAACTTTTTAGTGGCTCGAGAAGTAGCTGCTGCTCAATTAAGGAAGGAGGCGGAACAAAAATTAGAACAAAAAACTGATCCTCTAGTAGATATAGGTTTTGCAAAACTTATGAATGGTTCTGATGGGGGAGGTTCATTTAAAAGAAAAGACGAAGAGATCCAAGAACCCAATAAAAAAGCTAAGGCTGATGATAAATCAAAAGTAGCTGAAAAACTCAAAATTCAAGATAAAACCAGACCAGTTTCTAGTACACCTGTTGAGGGAACTCCTTGGTATTTTACATGAAATAATTTGAACAACATTTACAGATATGTAAATCTTAAACATATTTTTATTAATGATTTAGGTGTGTTGTATGGACTGGAGATGGGCGTGTATTTTTCTTTAAACCTTCTACTAGAACATCAGTTTGGGAGAAGCCTGATGATTTAAAAGGAAGAACGGATGTTGACAAAATGGTATCAAACCCTCCAGAAGTTGTCCAAGCCTTAAAAAGTGCCGAAGGACAGTCACCAACTAAAAAACCTAAGAATGAAAATGGTAATTAGAATAGAATTTTAATAATTTTTTATGCAATATGTATTTTGAAACTTAATCTTTAGAAAAAAATACTCAAGAAAATACAAGCAATAGTAAAACTGATGTTGAAAGTAAGGTAAACTTAATGAAAGATTCAGCTATGGAAGCGGAATTAAGAGCTGCTAGGGAAAGAGCAGTAGTACCTCTGGAAACCCGGATAACTCAATTTCGAGAAATGTTATCGGAAAAAGAGGTAATGTGTATTATTTATTTACAAATTACAGGTAATGATTTTCTTAATTTTGTTAATAATCTTTAGGTATCAGCATTTAGTACATGGGAAAAAGAGTTGCACAAAATTGTATTTGATCCTAGATATTTATTGTTAACTTCAAAAGAACGGAAACAGGTGTTTGAGAAATATGTTAAAGAACGCGCTGATGAAGAAAGACAAGAAAAACGTAATAAAATGAAAATGCGGCGTGAAGCATTTAGGCAGTTGATGGAAGAAGCTAATCTTACTACTAAGTAAATATTTATTTGTGATTAAAAAAATTTAAATATGTTATATTCATCAAATATACTTACTTTTAGAACATCGTACAATGAATTCAGTTCAAAAAATTCCAAGGATGAAAGGTATAAAAATATTGAAAAATCACGAGAAAGAGAAGGATTATTTAATGAATATATGGTAGAATTAAGAAAACAGGAAAAAGAAGAAAAGACAATGCGGCGAGAACAGGTAAGCTTTCTTTTTCCCATAATATTTTTGATAATCCTAAGCTGTTATACAGTTGATTTTGTATTTGTACAATTTTTTCTAAGATTAACAGATTTAGTTATTTGTTTAATGCTTATTATAAATCAGTTAAAGAAAATTATTATTGAATGCAAATATCATTTTGAATTTATAATTTTCATTCAATTCTCAGTTACTTCCATTCAATTACTAAATCGGAATTGTACAAATACGTTTTCATATAACACATTATTAAGTTAAGAGTCTGTAGGATTGATTCGTGTATTACTAATGAGGTGAATAAACGTAAGAATGTTATTACTAATTAAGCTAATATAATAAATAATTAATGATTTACTTTCAGGTTGTATCTGTTTAATAACTATTATTTTCAGGTTTCATTTATATTGACAAAATATTAAAACTATAAACTTCTATTTCAGTTAATTAATTAATAAATTATTTAAACATATTAATATAATTAACATTGAGCTAAAATTATTATTATTTTACTACCTTGTGTTGTTTATTTGCCATTGTTAGATTTGACTATTATTTCAAGTAAAACGCTTTTTTTTATAAAAGCAATATTAACATATTAATATTTTGTCAATATTATCAGCTATGAAAATTGAATAATATATATTTAAGTTTCAAATATATAAAAATCCATTTTTCTTTGGGGATAAATTATTTGTTTTATTTATAATGTTGAAAATGTTTTTTGATATTATTTAGTAAAATAAAATCATCGAAGTAGGTAATTACATCATTATGATATGTTAAAGAAGCAAGCTCTTGGGCCATTACTATAAAGTAAATGCTAATAAATAGTATTGCTTTAAGTATTATTAGTGGAAAGAGATCTTATTTTCATATTGACTGAAATTATTGTTGTTTTAATCACAATATTTGTCTCAAATGACGAACAAATATTTTGTAATATTCTTGTAAACTGTGAAAAAAAATGTTTATTTAATTTAATTGAGTATTTGATTTAGTGAAAATAAATTTACCCACTAATTTAGAATTAAATTAAAATACAATTGTGTGTAATAGTAATTGTATTCATAACCATTGTTTGAGATTTGCAAAGTTTAACCCCAGCGTACATTTAAATAAAACCAGAAGAAAAATGGATTTAAACCAAATGCGTTCGTCTAATTTTACAAAATATGTGTTATCAAAATATGCTGCATATTTTAAAATGGATAAACAACTGGCATTTTTCGACCGTAAAGTCTAAGGTTTTAAGTCAATAATACATTATAAATATTTATTTGTATTTTTAAAAAATTAAAAATAAATTATAAAATAGAATTTTAATGTTGGCCTTGGATTGTGAATAAATTTGAATGACATGTATGTTTGGAAATGTATGAGTCTTAAATTTGTATGACATATATATGCAACCATCGCCACCAAAAGTCGGATCTTCCTGTAACCTAAAACCTTGAGGACGGATATAAAACGCGAACCTGATGGCAATAGAGATTCAGTGAAACAATTCAAACACCAGCATTGAGGTAATACCTTATGGATTTTTTTTATTGGATACAAACGGATAAAAAGTTACAATTCTGTTGTTTATCCTTTATTACTTACTATTTAAAAAGTATGGATTTCTAGTTTTGATGAATTTCAAAGTGGTACTCCAAGCTGAACATGAAGAATGGACCGCAAAAGAATCAAAGTATCATTCGAATTTTAAAAATAAATATAAATTTGAAACTATACCTTATACCAATACTGAGTATACTAGGTATACAATTTTAACCTGATTGACTAATTAGAATTTAAATATATTTCATTATGTTAGGTATATTTATTTGTTTGCTATTATTTTTATTTTATTTAAAACTTCAACATAAGCTAACACCTAAAAAAAAAATTATTTTGAATAATTTTTTGTTTTATACTCTGTGCCATACGAGAATGCAATTGCACTGAAACAAAAATATGTTACTACCATATTCTGTGCCTGCCCAATCGCAAGCTACCTATTTAGGCTTCTATACAGTTGTGTTCTCTAGTAGCACAGAGAATAGTATGTTGTTTACACATTGGATCCATTTGACAGTATACCTGACATCTTAATTCCAATTATATTTTTATATCAATAGACAATTGATATAATTTCATTTTATTTTATTAGATAAATCGTTTTAAAAATAATATCAGCAATTTATTTTGTAAGTATTATATATTATAACTTAGTTACTTCGGAATATTTAACCAATTACATTGGTTACCTATGTTATAGTTTCTTATACTGGATTATAAAATTATAGTTACATTTATAAAAGGTAATTTCCAAAAGACATCCTAAACATCTCCAAAATATTAATTAACCAAACAATTTTAAGTATATTGTATTCTAAATACTATACTGTTCATTTCCTATGTTTATTTATACAAATAATATTGTTTAACTAATAATTATTATGTTTTCAGCGACACGTGTGTGTGTATATGAAACCAAAATCTTATTATTATATTTTATTACAAATAATGTTAATATGTTGTTTAATAGTCTTAAAATGCATTTTTAATAAAACAAAAAATATATTTACTTATTGCTAAGATAGTTAAATAAACTATCCATACTCTGTATTCTCTCGGCAAACAGAGTATTGTTATTATAATGTAAAGCCTATAGTAAAATAATCTTTATAATGATAAGTTTTTGATTTTGTTTATACTAATATAATAAGAGATTTTATAGGAATAATATATTATTACATTTATCTTCTATGCAAATGCAACTATGATGTTACTTGTTAAGAATGATTATTGATTATTATAAAATTCAAACTAATGATGATACAATCATTAGTTAATAACTATTTGAACTAATTATATTTTGTGAATACATTTTATAGGCTCGAAAGCAGTTTATAGAGCTATTAAAGGAACATAATGAAATAGACAGACATACTCGTTGGCCTGACATAAAGAAAAAATTAGACCATGACAGTAGATATAAAGCAGTTGACTCAAGTACTTTACGAGAAGATTACTTTATGGATTATATACGAATTTTGAAGGATGAAAGAAAAAGAGAAAAAGAACGAGAACATCGAGACAAAGATAAACACAGTCACAAACGAGATAAACGTGATAAAGAAGAGAAAGAATCCCGAAAGTCTGAATCAAAAGTAAATACTTTTTAAGCTTTGCATCGAAACTATAACCTGATAGTTTGTATCTAATTTTAAAACATATTGAATATATTATCTTAATGGTTTATTTTATAGCAAGAAGAAAAATCTGATGAAATTGATCAGGACGAGACTAAAGATTCAAAGGACTCCAAAGAAGCTCGAATTGAAGCCAGTCTGAAAGAGCGTGAAAAAGAAGTGCAACGTACCCTTGCTGTACATTTAAAACACAGAGAAAACGAACGGGAACAACATAAACATGATGAGGCAGTGGTTCATTTTAATGCTCTTTTAGCTGATCTGGTAAATAATTATTACAATATAATTTTTAATAAAATTGAATATAATGAATTAACTTCATGGAGAATTTCTTTGTTTTTTAAAGGTAAGAAGTAATGACATGTCTTGGAAAGAAGCTAAGAGGCAGCTCAGGAAGGACAGTAGGTATGAATTAGCTGATTCGTTAGATTCTGAAGAAAAGGAGAAATTGTATAAGGTTCATGTGGAAGAGATAACAAAAAGGAAGAAAGAAAAGTTTAGAGAGATGTTGAATGAAATAAATGATTTAACTTTGGATAGTTCATGGAAAGAAATAAGGAAACAAATAAAAGAAGACGTAAGATATGTTCGATTTTCATCTAGTGACAGGGTAAGTTTTTGCATTAATAATACTCTTCATAAAAATGTTTAACTTTTTTAGAATAAGGTTCAATGACAACATAAATTTTATAGTATTCCAATCACTGAATCTGACCTCAGATTATGTACAGTACGTCTAGTTTTCTATACTAAGAACTGAAGGGAATTATACATATTAATAATAATGTATTTGTATAACATGTTTTTTGAGAGGAATAAATTGAATTAATGTGATATATATTATTTATTATTCTTCAGTTTTTAGCACTGTAACATTTATGTTCTCTCGTAGTTGGACTTAACTTATTATTTTCTTTCATGTTAAAAAAAAATCACAAACTTTCTATTGTCTGATATTGGTCTTTTTAAAAACTTTTTGAAGTTCATACTACACATTTACGAAAAAAATATGTGCTGAACTAAGCTGAGTCCAAATTGGGATGCACCAAGGAAAATATTATAAAATTGATGTATTTTTGGTTCTTGTTTTGTATGTTACAGTGAAAATATAAAAATAAGATTTATAATTTATTGTATGTTTTTTTTTTTTAGAAATGTGAAAAAGAATTTAGAGAATATTTAAAGGATAGAGTGGTGATAGCAAAAAATGAATTCAAGAATCTTCTAATGGTAAATAGTTATGATAATAAATGGTCTAAATTATTTCTTTACTAATAACAAAAAAATAATTTTAGGAAACCAAACTAATTACACATTTGTCTAATGCAAAACTACAAGAAAATAATGAAGGATACCTAAAAGAGGTCGAAGACATACTGAGTAAAGATAAACGTTATTTATTCTTGGATAGCTTAGCTGAGGAACGTACTGAATTAATAATTTCCTATATTGAAGAATTGGAAAAACGAGGTCCACCCCCTCCACCCACCGCCACAGAACCAAATCGACGAACACTTAAATAATTTTTTTTTATTATTATTAATCTATTATAGAATAACAATACTTTTTTTAATATCGTTAAATATTTTAACGATAAGCATAACACTTTTTTAAAATTTTCAGACACTTCATTTTAATTATGTTATTTTTATTCAATTTCATTGTGTTGTCATTATTATTTTTTTATATGTATATAGATTTAGGTACAATTACCAGTAAGTAGCAGAAATGTTGTATTTGTATAATTTACTTATCTTATTGTACAGGTTAGGCTGTTCTTTAGGATTTCACTTTTACAACCCGATTCAATAAAAATAACTTTTATTAATTTGAAGTATTAGCTTGTGTTTTACAAAATCGTTAAAATTAAAAACACCTATATCTCTTATGGTGGCAACGTTGGGCCTTCGTGGCTTAGTAAGCTACATATATTTCATCGAGTAAAGATAGTACATAATATATTCTCTATATACTCAATTTATTTATATCACAAACTGCTCATTTTTTAACTTGCTTGTAGTTATGCCATTAACATTGTGATGGTTTAAAACCACATTGCCCACAAGTTAGAATAATCGATCATAATTTGTTTGCTAAGTTGCGTATTTAGCTTCTATGCAGAGGCTATTGGTTTTACTATGATGTAGATTTTTTATAATGTACCAGCTATAATTTTGAGAAAAACGGTCGGATCGAATAGAAATTTATAAGGAATATATTTTATTCGGTGTGCCCTTAACGAGACAGAAGGGGGAAAGTTCTTATGTGTGTTTTAGCCATAATTTTAGGACCTTTTGGTTTGAAATTTGTCAGGAGTTAAGATTCATGTGTAATCAAAAATACAGTTTTGTATTGGCTATAAATAATTATAATGTACGAATGATTATAATAACAATAATTGGTCGACGTACTTGCATGACTAATAATTTGTTAAACCACGGTAATACACAATAATCATTATTTTACGACAACTCGAAACAATTATTTTCTCAATGGACTGCAGTAATTTGTTCAGAATTAATTATTCAATATTATCATAGTGCAAATTTTATAAACAACAAACGCCGAGTGCTCACTGTGCTAAGATGTAGACTTTGAAATCTAGGTAAATGTACCTTTATTCTAAAATAAATAAATAAACCGTTCATACAAGAAAATAGAGAATTTTTTAAAAACAATATTTATCTTTAAATAATTTTAATAGCAGTAGGAATAACGTATAATTATAATTAAAAAAACATTTAGTGCAAACAAATTGCTCTATGAGACATCGCTTACAATTTAAATAATAATATTAATAAGAATAGAGACAATATGTACAACAACTTGCCTGCTATATAAAGATAAAAATAATATCAGCCAGTGAATGTACATTGTATGCCTTAGTCCGGCCGATCGGTGTAATGCGGTTGTTCAAATCAGTCACCCGCAAAAAAACACTGGTTAATAACAACCCCCTCGACAAGCTATCTCCCTCTCCCTCCATTCTCTGTAATAACAAAGTATGTGTAATGACAATATAAGTGTACTTTAATTGTAAATTAAGAAGGCACTGCTCTCCTGATTTAAATAATAAATTTAAGAATTTTTTTTCTTAGTCGTATATACATGTATGCGTTGAAGACAACGGTTTGATTTGAACTTAAAAAAATTAGGTAAAATTTAGATTTTTGTGTGTCGTAACGACCACCGACCGTGGCACAGTATCATGGTGACAAATCAATTTCTATAAAAAAATTATTATTTGTAATTTACGATTATGAATTCTCGATTTATGCGCAGAATTAAATTTGTAAATAATATAGTAAAAAATAAAATAATTATTTTTCAAATAATTCTATACTACATTTTGTTAAAGATAACATTTGTAAGTACACATGTGACAGAAGAAAATGTTACAATTAAAATTAATACAAATAAAAACATTTACTTATTTATGTATTAATGTATGTATGTACAAGGGGTTTCTTTTATCATGGGCCACTCAATGTCTTGCTGGGCTTTTAATTAATAAATTAATAAAAATCATTTATTTTTCTCACAGTGTTTTTATAGCAGTATACGCTGATGTGTGTACTGCTACGCTGACCGCGGAAACGGTATTTGAAATAACAGTAATAATATTAGCTGGTGATTTCAATTATTGAAATTCGATATCAACTTTACTGATAAAAAATCTGAGCCACTAACTCAATTTCTTTTTGATAAATTCAATTTAATAATGAATAATGACCCAACGATTTCCACAACAAGATATAATACCACGATTGATGCAGTTTTTTCAAGATACTTGCATAATATGACTTCACAAACATATGTGACATATGTGAAACAAATCATACTTCAGCTATCATAAGCCAATTATATCTATGATAGAATGTACAAATTAGATTTATAATGAATATATACTTATTAATAAAGTTTTAACGAAGACATGTTTTTTTATTCAATTTCATGTACTTATTTTTTTTTTTTTCTTATTCCTCACTTCAAATTCATTCTCAAGTGTTACTACTTACTAATTTCTTATTTCTTAATTAAAATTCTTTCACCCGTTTTACTACAAGACATATACGTTCGGAACTTAATAAAGAATATTATAATATATTTATATTTTTAATAAAGAATAAAATTTTCTTTTCGAAACGTTTAATAATTTGTCTCTGAACAGTGATCCTACACAATCTACGACAAAATATGGTACAACCATTGATGCTGTTTTCCAGATATTTGAACAAAATTGAGTCAAAAATATACGTATCATATTTTGGTCATCATAAATCATTAATTTCTATGACAGAATGCGAGATTTAGTAATATATAACAATATACATATGATAAAACGATTTTATATCAATCACTTTTTATAAATTAATCGAATGCAACTATATGATATCTGAACTTCGTTCCTACCGAGGGTCCCGTGACCCAATCCGTTTTTTTTTTAATTATGTAATTATTTGTGTTTGTATTGTTTTAGGAAAGTTTACCACACAAACAAAAACTAGCAGTTACAACAAAAAGTCTTGAAAAGTGTTGATCCTATGGCTGGCGCGTCGAGAGGACGAGGAGGTGGTGGATTTGGCCGGCCACACGTATCCATCGGAACTGAACCAGACGGTCCACTCGATTTCAAAGCACATGAACTCTTTCCGCCGCTACGAGCTAATGTTATCGAAATTGAAGAAGACAGTGAAAACGAAGATTTAATTTCATTCGAACAACAATTAGCCAAGCATTTTCATAGTGCTCCATCGTTTATATCTAAAGATGAGTTTACTAGTCCTTGGTCGTACCTCAAGAGTGTAGAAACACATATAGTTATTTTCCTTCATCCTTGCTATCAAAAAAAAAAAGAAAATTTCTCCAAATGAAAAACCGTTAACAGACAAGTAGTGGATGGATTAATTAAAAGCCGAAGTAGCCAACCGAGATTATTTGTCGTTAAAACAAATTATATCTGCCAAGAAAGCCAAAATAAGCGATTTCCTCAACCCAGCCAGTAAAAAGAAGGTAAAAAAATGAAAAAGGCTCTTCCACTTCACAATTGTTCAATGAAAGTGTTGTTAAAGAACTCGAGGAAGAGAAAGACATTGATGTCGAAGATAGCGAAGAACCAAAAAAGAAAGAGGAAGATGATAAAGAAGGAGAAGTAAAAGATATCGATGATGAGTTGGAAAGTGATGTCGACTCTAAGTTAGATGATGGAACTGACTACAAAGTACAATAAAAATTATTTTGATAACGGGGAAGGATATTTAGATGATGAGGATGATGGTTTGGATGATAATGACGCCATCTACAAATACGATTCAACTATTATTTTTGTGTGATGAGCTTTATTATTTTGTATGTATCATATTATATGTTTTTCATTTGTCACCTAGATTAATAAAAAAAAACCATTGTATTATTAATACATCTCTCATTGAATGTAGTTACTAATTACTGATAAATGTATTTTTTACGATTGTAATTTGTGTTACTACTAGGCACTAACACCCGTACCGTGTCGGTATACAGAACTAAAATTTGTCTCGGTGGGCCATCTATATAATTATAATCAATGCTAATACCTATAATATATAGATCCTTTTGATATTTTTTTTGTTTTTTTCTGCCAAAAAGAGTATTGACAATAAATTGTTGCCTTGGATAGACAGACATTTATTGCTATGTGAATTTTACATGAAAATTCAATTTTTATGTTCTGGTGTTGATATTTTGTATAATGATAGTATTTACAATTATTATTAATTTATGAACAACATGTTAATTTTAGTTAGGTTTAATATTACGCCTTTAATAAGTGTAACACAGACCTATATAAGTACTGAAATCTGATAACATTTTTGACATAACAATTTAATATTGTTAAATACTATTTTTATTTAATTCTTATAAGTTATATAAAGTATTTAAGGTTCTATATAAATGAGTCCTATTTACTTATTATCTCAACATCTGAAAAAAAAACCTTATATTATTTTTACAGTATATAATAAATTGATGAATGTTTGAAAATAGGGTCCAGTGAGTGGTGATATGTGAGAAGGGAAGGCTCATGTCTAGGGCCATGCGTTAAGAAGTTGGAAAGTACGTCAAAATCTTTCAGTAGGCATCTCTAATCATATTGTGGTCTTAATAAAACTATCCGTCCCTCTAAACTATACTTCTTAAATAATTGCATAAAAAAAATGTAAAACCACATTCCTAAATCCGAATAATTATAGAAATAATATACATATAATTTAAGATTAAAAACATAATTTATTTTTGTTCACTAATTAAGGCGTTGCGTCGTCTGCATTAGTGTAATGTCAAAAAAAGTAACAATGACATATCATGTTCTTTAAAAATATTTCCAAACCATTTTCATTAATATTTATTTAATTAAGTTTTACATCTTTCATTTGATCAAGATTATTTTTATAATAAATAATTGTTTGAATAAAACGCATGTGCATACTGGACGAGCTACTATAATATACACCCTTCTATCAACCACAATTACTCTGTCAATTAATTTAATCTATGCTAAATTAATATTAATAATGTAAAGCATATTTTGTGTTCAAAGAGATCCTTTATTATATATATAATATAGGATCTCCTTGAACACAAAATTTGCAAACCTTTGCTGACTCTATGTGAGTTTTTAACTGATGAAAACAATTCGTTTCTATGTTAACTTCTGCTTGTTGTTTGAATAACAAGACGTAGCAATTGTATATTTATAGTATAATAAAAGTCAATAGGTACTTAGATTTTAATATTTTCAGCGAACAATATGCATTGTGTCGAATCGTTCTGCAGAGATATTTTACGTTATAACAATTACTTTTTCGAACGACATAAACATTACTGTCATGTTCTACCATAAGTTTGGACGTAACTTCAAGCTATTTCAAAAAAAAATCCGAAGGCGACGAAAAACTAACAAGGGGTTCGCCTGGAGACTTGATGGTAGGTATTTCGAACACATACAGTTATTATATTATGTAACATACAGCAGTATGTTCTTCTCTCTCATTGTTATTTATAATAACTGTTTAAAAAAAAAAGAAAACTTTTATAAGAACACTTGGAATTTTAAAAGTTGGTAAATTAATTTAAGCATTTGAGGGTCTAACAGGGCGATTTCACATTTGGGCTTCAGAGTAGGTAATGCAAAAACCCAGCATGCTGTGTAGAAATCTCTTAATATATAATAATTTAGATACCAAATCTAAAGTCCAAATCCAATTATTACTAAACACTATTTACTAATATGTTAAATTTTTTTTTTAGATTCAAGTGCAATTATTTACTCGTGGCGATCGATCATAAATTTCCTAAAAAGTATAAATAATACGAAGTAACCCGTAAGCAAAACATGTAGTTTTGAAATGTATTCTAAATATTAATAATAATTTAATTGTATACAGCTGTAAGGGTCCGGAATTAACTACAGACGAAATAATTGTACTTAAGTTTCACTGCTCAGTAAAATTCTTACATATTAAATTCATAATAATATAATTGAAAAACCTTTTTTTTATATGACTGGTTTGTTAATTCTAGACCTTTTTCTAGTGCTTGATTTAGTATAAGTAATGTATTCCTCAGACGAATTTATAAAAAGGGAGTGTAATTATTGGAAATATTTTTTTCAACTAAATCAATACATTTCTGAGTAATATATTCTGGTCTCCCTTGGAAGTAAAATAAAGATACCTAGTAGGTACCTACGCTAAAATATCTAAACAATTGAGTTACCTCCCCTCCCCTCTACTAAGTCAAGTACTGTGTGGATTAGGTCTATGTACGATGATGCCATTTTACTCTCAATTCTCCCTTTATAAATTATTTTGGACAACCGCACAATAATAATTTTTTTATTTAAGTAAATTTACACATTTTAGTACTATTGTCATTTCAGATAATTGAACTAAACTATTTTAAAAATGTTTTCGTTGGTAACTTCTCACTTTCGCGTTGTGGTCGTTCTCGTTATAGTTCATAAGCCTCTCACATTTTCTGCTCAGTAAAAATTAATTACATACTTTAAAATTTGCGTCCAGTTAATCAAGTCACAACATTTTGTACACCAACAAAATTTTTTTGTAAATCAAATTACCAATATCTATCCCGTGATCCTACTGGATAACCTCCTTCGTACTCTCTTTTACGCAAAGTCTGTCGATACCGGGATATTTTAGTCATTAAGTTAGTCTTAAGTTATTCATTAAGTTAGTCTTAAGTTATGCCCGGATCGACTTCGATGCGTAAGTCCACCATTGTCTGTTGTGTGGCCGCTCAGTCTGTCGATACCGGGATATTTTAGTCATTAAGTTAATCTTAAGTTAGTCATTAAGTTAGTCTTAAGTTATTCATTAAGTTAGTCTTAAGTTTTGCCCGGATCGACTTCGATGCGTAAGTCCACCATTGTCTGTTGTGTGGCCGCTCAGTCTGTCGATACCGGGATATTTTAGTCATTAAGTTAATCTTAAGTTAGTCATTAAGTTAGTCTTAAGTTATTCATTAAGTTAGTCTTAAGTTATGCCCGGATCGACTTCGATGCGTAAGTCCACCATTGTCTGTTGTGTGGCCGCTCAGTCTGTCGATACCGGGATATTTTATTCATTAAGTTAGTCATAAGTTAGTCTTAAGTTATGCCCGGATCGACATCTATGCGTAAGTCTACAATTTTTTGAAACGCCCCTATCACACATTTCTGGTGGTTGTACAGTAAATGCAATTTGAGCATCATCGTAGATGGAGATACCACATTAAAAAAAACGAGCCAAATACTCTACCTCATAGGTGGTTTGGAAACGAGTATACAATCCCTAATACGAAGTAACCCGTAAGCAAAACATGTAGTAATTTATTTTAAATATTAATAATAATTTAATTATATACAGCTGTAAGGGTCCGGGATTAACTACAGACGAAATAATTGTACTAAGTTTCTCTGCTCAGTAAAATTCTTACTATTTAAAATTAAAATAAAATAATTGAAAAAACATTTTTTTATAAGTCTGGTTTGTTAATTCTAGACATTTTTCTAGTGCTTGATTTAGTATTAGTAATGTATTTCTCCTTATTGACGTCTTTCAATAAGAAGGTACACCAACGAAGTTCGAAAAAAACTAAAATTCATTGGCGTGTCCATAAGCCTAAGCAGGCGACAACGATAATATCACGCATTTATTATTATTTAATTCTATTTTAGGCTTTAAAGTTAATAGAAAACTTACATCAAAATATTTTTCTTTTTTTTACATCATTTTCAGGAATACTTACAGGGTATATAGCCCTGTTACTTGTGCGTTAAACCACTCATGCTTTAAGAACCACCTTAAGCTTTTAATAGGTAACGCGTATAATGTACATATTTGATTAACTTTTTAATTTAACAAACATTTGTTGACTGGTCGATTACCAGTATTGAATAGTTACTTGTTAAGTTTAAAATTGTGTGTTGGTTGGTTACCAACCAGTTAATATTTTCGGCAAAATGTTCTTATTTTAATGTATTATATGTTCCCACTTAATTTATAAAAGTTAATTCGCTTTGGAAAATACTAAAAAAGCTAGATATTTAATAATTTCATAAAATCGTATATCAACGTCTATTCTTAAGTAAAACTATACCTACAATTATTGTAATCGTTTTCCCAGAAAATGAGCGTTTTACGTTAAACAGATCACTAGTTACTAAGTGTTAACTGTTAAGCTGTATAAGTCATTATACTTTATTTTAGAGCACTGGACTAAATATGGATCAAATACAAAAATGTGTGGAACTGTACGAAAATCACAAAACTCATTTGCAGATCGATATTCCGGAAATCACAAACGTTATGAGAAACTTTTTTGGAATTGAAAAGCCTGAAAATGTTTTCAAATACAGCACATGTAACATATATTATTTAAATAGCTATTTCATTCATTACATCTCTGGACAATTAATGTTGCGTTTTTGCTTTAATAGTTTAATATGTGTTTAAGCTTGGTTAATTATGTACTATTAACTCTATAGATAATATTTGTTTTTTTTTTTAATTTAAAAACATACTTAGCCGATCAAGTTCTTATTACTAACATTATAATAATTTGTAATAAACTTTTATTCATCAAACTATTTGGTTGAAAATTAATGATGAAATATAGTGTAGAAGATAGTGTTACTTTTTTTAAAAATATAATTAAGTTTGCTTAGAAAGTAAACATATGCATAATAAGTATTTGACTCGATTAAGAAGTAACTATACTTAATCTGTCTAAACAATTAGATATTTCAAGCATACATCATTTAATTGAAAGTATTATATAAATCTTATTATCTTGCCAAGCTTTGTTGAAAACTATTGTTAAATAGTTAATAATAATATAACTATATTGTTTAAAAATATATATCAGGGGTTTATATTAAACTGGGACCCGTAACTTTCTTTTTCTCCAAGATTAGTAATCAGTTATTATTCTTGTAGTTTGAATAGTTATTCCTGAACTAAGTAAATCGGTCCACAGGGAAAAAGTTATCGTTATCTATTATATACTGTTACTTAAAGGATAAAAAAAAAAATACATTTTTATAAAACAAATACCATCTTAATTATAATAAACTAAAATCGTAAATCAGCAACCAGCATATGTTCGATTCTTCTTACTTCAACAACACGGTAATTCAATATTTAAATCAACATTTTGATTTTCAGCTTAGTACTATAACAATCTAATTAAAAAAAACTATATTTTTCAATGTTAGGAAACATTATTACGTTTGTGAACATTTAAAAAAATGTCTATATACACATATTCTGCGGCAACATGTGATACATAAGGATAACACATTTTTGATGTGACGACATTTTAATAAAATTTCAGTCCACTGCCTACTTAAAAGTCTTTTTCTTTCAAACCAAAAGAATATTATACAACTGTTTCCTTAATGTAGATTTATATCATATCTTCATAATATATACGTATAGTTTGAAAAAATAGTAAATCAATTTGTAATAAATTATTTTATTTCACATTTGAAATTGTTTTCATTTAAAATTGAACTAAAATTATAAAACAAATTAAAATTCTCACAACAACACAGATTTTTTTGCAAAATTACTATTTGCTTAATGTTAAACTTTTTACAGCCTTTTCAGTTTCGTTATCTGAGAATTTTAATACAGCTGCTATTGCATTAACCATATGCTTCCTAATTTTATCATCGGCCGTAAGAAAATAACTGAGAGTAACGTTTTTTAAATATTCCAAGTTAGCTCCTTCTCTGGACTTGCACATTTCTAGTCTAAAAAAAAATAAAAAAGTGTCATATTTCATTATGGTAATACAATTTTTTTATTTTGTACCTTTTTATTTGTTGATTTAACCTATCGACATCACCTTCATATTGTTGCTGCATGTCAGCTGTACTCTTTTGTAAATCCCTATACTTGGATTCCAATTTACTTTTAGATTTCCTGAATTTAGAAATCTCCATGTCTTTTAAAGCTAATTCATGTGCATAATGAAGCAAATGAGATCCTTTTTTATTTGACTCCTCATCTATGTAATCCTGAAACTGTACAAATATATTAAAATAGAAAATTATTTTTATCAATAAAAAAGCTAACTTCTTTTTTTGAGCCAGTTGATGAATGAGACATTTTTCTATTAGTTTTCGTACATTGTATTAATTCTCGCAGAGAATTTAATTCTTGTTCTTTATCTGCCACCATTTCTTGGGCTTTATCTCGTTGTCTTAATAGCTGTTGCTCCAAATAAGATGTACGCTTACGCCACTCTAAATCATTTTTCATATACTTTTCTTTCCAACTAGCGCTGGCCTTAATCATAAAGAAAAGATTGATAATTTTTAAAAAAATTATATAATATAGTTTACTTGTAAAAGTAACAATTATTACCTTAATAAATTCAAGGAAATTCAACTTAATTAAAAAAAAAAAAAATGTATGTCATACCATAATACATTATTATTCTAATTTTAGTTTTATTTAAATTTTAAAAATTTTGAAAAATGTATGAAACTTACTTCTGTATCTTCTTCTATTTTTTCTTTACATATCCTTTCCAATTGGTCACGTTCAGATTGTAAAATGTTGACTTGTTGTTTCAAATTTTTTACTTGATTTAATAATACTTGGGTGTCTTGCTTATGAGATTTTTCTTTAGTAATTTTGTTTTCCTCATACTTTTTTGTATTATCATTACTTTTAGAATCATTTATAGAAATATTGTAATCCAAATCCTTCAAAATGACATCTGCTAAATAATAGTCATTTCAATTTATCAAGAGATAAATAATTAAAAATGTAATGATCAGAGTGATTAGTTTAAAGAATAATATCCAACCTTCAATATTTAGAGGAACTTCAGAAGTTTTAGCTAAATTTAATAAAAGATTTTTATAATGTTTAAACTTCTCTATTATTTCGGACACTGTATAATCGGTATCATTTTTATGTTCAATTTCTAATTTCTTTATTTGTTCCTGAAAAAATTGAAAATTATAAATTTAATCAATTAATTAGTTAAAATTTGATAAGTTATATAAATGTTTGCTAAATATATGAATATAAGTTTGATGGTGTACTAAATAATATTTTACACTGTTTTTTTTTTATTAAATTATCAATTTTATAAATATATACATGAATAATAATTCAATGCACCACTTACAAAAAAATCATTGATTCATTGTCAGTAAAAAGGACTTTTTTTTTATACATTTATTCTTATTCTACCCCTTTAAGGTCTCTATTTCACGTGTAGTTAAGAAAACAGTTTACCGTGTTTTAATTTAACAAAGTTAAAATATGTGTACTTAAAATACACATGAAAACATTTTTGTTTATGTTATATTACAATATTAGACAATATTCAATTTTTTTCTTTTTAGGTATTTTATAGAGCTTTATCATCTTTTGAAACTAAAATGGTAACATATATATATATATAATTGAATTTTAAAATTTAAAAAAAATGTAATTAATTTTTAGAATAATTTACAACAAATTTTGATTGGATGATTTAACCAGTTATTTTTAAGTTATTTAAGTTTGAAATTTAAGACAGTTCTATCCTATCCTAAATTTTGTGATAATAATTAATAGATACAGAAATGTGTTTATGTTAATTATGAAGTTTAGGATATGAAAGATAATATTGTAAAGATTACATTACATACAATGTAACAATAACGAAACCACCTACTTTCAAATGTTTTATCGTCTGTTCATCTTCATTTCTAATTTTATCATAAACCCCAATTGAGTTAGATAATTCAGATAAACGAGTCTCTAAATTTGATACTCGAATTTCATGTGCTACTGCTAGTTCTCTAGCACGATTTTCAGCTTCAGCTGCCCTTTGCTGCTCCTAAAAAATTGTTTTAATCATTTCATTATTTTATGCATACTTTAAATAGTGTTTAACACAACTGTAAAATGCTCACTTGAGAAATAGCAACTGTATGATTCTGTCTTACTGCTTTAACTTCCTGTCTTAATTGTGCTAACATTCCAGAAGTATCTTCTTCTCTATATTTTAATTTTTGTTTGATATCATTTAATTCTATTTCCATATCATGAGCTTGTTTCTTAAATATTTCAATGTCTCTTTGCAAGTGCGTTACCTCTTTCTGTAATTGTTCAGCTAAAGATTCTGCCTGTTCTTTTTGCCTTCTTTCTTCCGCTAATAACGTTTGTAATTCTCTCATCATCACACCATGATCATTAAATTCTTTCTCTCGTTGAAGTCGTTCCTTATTAAATTTACCTTTGATATTTTCCATTTCTAATCGTTGAAGTTTCTTCAATGTATCCATTTTATTATTCAATTCTTTAACTGCTTTTTCAAGCTATAAATAAAATATTTATAAAAAAAATTAAAGATAATAACTGGAGTTACAACTATATATGAAAAAAAATGATGCTAAACAATTGTTCTAACTTAAAGTTTAAGGCGTTTTCAATATGTCTAGCAACCCCTGAAATTGCACTAACGCCTTCAAGTAGAAGCTTAAGTGTAGATGATATGGAATAAAGACATTTCATTATGTTATACTAACCTCTAATTTTTCGTTTTGATAAACAATTTTTTCTATTGCTGATTTTTCTTCAGCTTCATTTCTTTCTCGTTGTAAATTAGCTATTGTATTTACAAGGTTGATAAAACGAGATTGATGAGAATCATTTGATATCTAATAAAATGATTCAATAATTTAAATTAAAATACAATATCAATAAAAATAATCTTAAATTTTATAGCTCTAAATTAATATATATATATTTCAGTTGAAAAAGTATTCGTTTACAATGAAGTTTAATTTTATTGTTTGTTACTAGATGTATTTTCAATCACAAATTTTAACTGCTGAAACGGTTATTCTTTTTTTTAATATAATAAATAATTTTGGTAAGGTAAGTTGAAGGCCAAAAATAATTTAACTATCATTCATACAAATTCCTTCAGATTACCTTAATATGAAGTTTAGATTATCACCTATTTAAAGGGTATATTATGACTACACAAATAAGAAACAACTTGTACCTCCGACGTATCTGTTTCAGATGCATCATCTCTGTCAAACTTAGCAGAAGTCTTTAGAGTTTCCTCCAAAGCATTTTTTTCTAATGTTAGCTTCTTATACGCAACAACTAAATCTAAAATCCAAAATGTATAATAGGTACGTTTTATTAACATTATCAAAGTTTATATTTAAATTAATTACTGTGTAGATTTTTTTTGTATTTTTCCAATTCAGATTGTTCGTTGGTAGATGACGACTGAGTTTCTTTTTCCATTTTAAAATAGTATACAATATTATATTATGTCATACCTGATTTTACGAAATTTATGGAAACAAAATTTTTAAATTTAAGTAGTTGCATTTTATTATTTATTATTTAAAGCTTGGCTTAGTGACTGGTGACGGGTCATGATAGTTACATACAAAGATACAAATTCCAAAAACTCAAATTTATCAGTTATCAATATTGATAACGTCCTTATCAATATAAGATAGACACCATGACAAAATCACAGAATAATATAGTATCGTTGATTAAATACAAATACATCTATTAAGTACACGGTTAAAAAGAACTTTATAATCGTGATTAAGTATACTTAATTAATGATAGTATATAGGTATATATAATATATATTGTTTATCTGTAATTTCATTTTTTTATAACTCAAGGAAAACATAACCCACTTGAAGCATTACATTTTCAGGTTGCTTGGTGTGCAAATTCTTACTCGAATTATTTTTTTCACTATTATTTCAAATATTTTCACACACAACCTTCAACTACAACAGAGAGCACCTTAATGATAATTTTAATCATTCTTTAGTACTTCAAACTGCATTTCTACCGAATTTTTTTACAAACATTTAATTCAATCAGAATTTAAATAATAATTATGAGATGGTTTTATTGAAATAAAAAACCTACCCGTATGTTTATTTTCTCTATAGAGATTTGCATCCAAGTGTTTAGTTGGAAAAGGATTTATCACTATCTGCGATTCCTAAAAGCTTACGACTTTAACCACTGTGCTGGCTTTTTTTTTGTTTTCTTTAAAAAATGTACACAATCTGTTAATGAAAAATAATGATGTTTTATGCAAATCGTATAGGCATGTAATTAATAATTTGTTTCACAATAATTGTAAAAAAATAACATATGCAAATGAATAATCACCCAACTGAAAAAATTAAAAACATTTTGAATAAAGTATTCTAATTAATTAGGTAAAATATTTTCACGTTGTTAAAACCCAATGCAAACAATTGTCTAAATAAAAAACAAAACCAGAATACAAATAAAATTAATTTTTTTTTGTTTTCAAAATAGATTTCAAGTCAATATGTAAAATATTTTCAGTTTTAACAGTAACATTTTTTAAAATAATCATCATTGATTATAATTATTTTAATTTTATTAATGACATGTAATTTAATAATAATTTATAAGTTGAATAATTGTGTAAGAACATGGCTACTAGATTATTATAAAGTAATTAACAACATACTTGACAAGAAGTTCTTACCATTATATTTTCTACAAATATCATTTAAGTATTTGAATAAATCAATAGTAAATTAGTGACTGTTCAGTTTTGTACAGTACTAGAGTCAGTTGCATTAGTAGTATCGAGTACATCACTGTTCTCTGGAGTTGATATAGATTCTGAAGATGGAAGCTCAGTACACCTCATTTCAATGGAGTCGTTAATGGTAGGTTCATTATCAGAGCCGAAATAGAAACTACCCTGTGGTTGTTCACAGGGTTTATCTGTTGACAACTCTTTTTCGTCATAGTGTGGTACAAAATCATTATTTTCTTGATTATACGAGCTATCAACAAAGTTATTACCAGATTCTTGGTAATTCTGTTCATTTTGTCCGTAACCATTATTTGATTTAGATTCAACATCTTCAATTTGTGTTAATTCACTATCATTTTTGTCTGTCTCAAATTCAGCAGGAGCACTATTATATTCATTATGAAACGTTCTTTCATAATGATCTTGAGTTTCAATGTTTTGTTTTTCAAAGTTTTCATGCGTATCATTAGTTTTTTCCTGACTTACATTATAATTGTCGTGTTTTGATTCTTCAAAATTATCACTAAAACTATTTTGTTTATCATCATACTGTTCTGTTATTTGATGATTACTAGAATTTTGTGTTAGGCATTCTTGACTTTCATTATATGTTTTATCATCAACACTACTTAAGTTAGGACGATTTTCAGTATTTTCATGGTGTTCTCTTTCAAATTGTTCGTTACAATGTGGTTTAAATTCATTATCACTAAATGTCTCTTTTGGCTGAACATTTGATTTCTGCTCTAAATTTTCTGACGATTCTCCATCATAATTCTCTAGATCCATTGGAGCACTACACTGGGATTGAGTTTTTGCATTTGGATCTTCATCAGGCACAATTCTTTCTGAAGATTTCAAATCATCTTCTTTGAGCTTATCATCTGTTGGTTTATCTCCCCACTTGCTAGGTTTTCTGGGACGTTCATCATTATCACGACTTTTAAATTTGGAGTGACTACCGTCATCTTTTTTACCATTCCACTGAGGTCCATGTTTGTTAGTTTGCCAGTCAGCATCATCGTTTCGTTTCCATGGTTTTTGTTCATCCCATTCAGGATTTTCCTCACGCCTCCATCGTTTTTGATTAGGCACTCCTTCTCTGTCATCAGTGCGCCGCCTTCCAGCATTACCTCTCCATGGTGATGATCGATTACCATGACCACTCCAACCATCAGAATCCCGTCCACCACGACCTCCCCATTTATCAGCATCTCGGCCACCACGGCTACCCCAGGTATCAGGCTCACGATTACTTCTTCCTCCTTGTAAGTTATTATCTACCCAAATATCTAAAAAAAAACAAATTATATGAAATATGGACTAAAATTTAAGTAAAAAATGTTATTACCTCTCCCTCGACCACGACCCATATTTCCCATTAAAGGGGGTCTTATGTTGCCTCTTCCCATCATGCCACCCCTGTTTTGTTGATTTTGCCAAACAGGAGGTGGTCTATTACTGTCCCAATTAGGTCCACTATTATTTTCCCAATTAGCTCCATTATTGGCATCCCAATTTGGTCCACTATTATTGTTAAAACCACCAGTTGTTCCTCTAAATCCACCACGACCTCCGCGATTCCAGGCTCCTCGGCCTCTCATATTGCCAGTATCCATCAGAGAAAATCTTGGTCCATCTGAGGAGAATATAGGTACAACTTATAATTATAATTTGTTTTAATGATGCGAGAGTTTTCAACAATCTTGGACAACCACTAAAATTAATTATGCTTAGTAGCAAAAAAACATTTCTTTCACGACATTCAGAAATTAAAAAACTTGTTGAAATTACCAAATTAATTATCATGTTTTAAATATAAATATTAAGCTTTTAACCCAAACATTTTTAAACTTCAAGATTTAGTGGGGTTAAATTTTTACATTAGACCCTCACACCAAACTTATCTGTAACTATTATTTTTTGTGATAACTTACCCAGTCCTAAGCCTTGAGGAGGCATATTAAACATTTGATTTGGAAGCGGTCCATTTGGCACAAACATTTCTGGTTGGAATCCGGGACTAGCAACATTGTCTGGAATCGCGTGTTTAAAAATTTGGCGCAAGGGATCATTTTGTTGAATTAATACATCATTTACATTATCCATTTGGGTTAGATTTGGTGGAGGAATTCCTAACCCTTCAGCTCTATCAGTATGATTCTGATTGTTCGCCTCCTCCTTGTCTCCCCATCGAGATGATTTCCGTTCTCTTTGTTCAGATCCTTTATTGTTACGACTTCTAGGATCTAATCTCATGTCGTCAACTCTTCTACCACGGTCATTTTTACCATCTCTATCTTTAAATCTATTATTTCTGTCTCTATTATCACGACTGCGGTTCCTGTTATCTCTTCCACGGTTTCTATCCATACTTCTGTCCCCATCATTAGATCCTTCTCGATCGACAGTTGGATCATATTTGTCATTATCCAAACTTGTATCAGCATCATTGTGTCTAAAATCTGATAAATTTGGAAGGGTCGGAGGTGGAGGCAAGTTGAACTGCATCATAGTTGAAGGGTCCAATTGATTGTTTCCCACAATTGGAACGTCTTTTTGATTAGAATTTGGAGGAAGGTTAGATACAGAATTACTACTAGAAGTAACAATTGATGGATTTAATCCCATCATAGACTGAGCAGAAGAAATAGCAGCTAAAACAAGAAAGCACATTTTAAATTAACAATCAAGACATTTTTTGTGCAATACATATAATTTATAAATCAAACATTAAAAATATTTAAAATTTGCTTACCTTGAGAGGGCAAATTCATATTAAAAGGGAAAGGCATAACCATATCTGGTGGAACACCAAGTGGTTTCTGTCCATCATTGGTTATTCCCATTTGTTGTGGGTTACCCATCATAGACATGTTGGCTGAAAATAAAAAAAGTTAATTAAAAAATATTCTTTAATACTAGGAGTAGTTCACTTACGTGGAGGTCCAAATGGCGATTGCATTCTGTTCATCATCATCATAGATGGATGACCCATTCCCAGAGGTGTCATAGAACCTGGCATCATCGGATTAATCATTGGATTAATTAATCCTAAAAAGTTATTTATAAATTTCACTCGGAAAAATGACATTCAGAGATTACTTAATCAAAACAAAGACATACTCGTATTTATTCCAAAAGGATTAGGCATGCCCATTGCTTGGTGAGGTATATTAAAACTTATTTGATTGGGTTGACTGTTTTGTGCCGGAGACATTTGCATTTGAACACTTGGAGAAGATTGAACACCTTGTTGATCAAATATGTTAGATACCTGTTGATTGCCATCAATCATTTTTTCTTCTTTTTTCTCAGATTTTTTTGAATCACGTAAATTTTTTAGATGACCTAAAATATTTATACACCGACAATATTAATAAATTGTATCATTAAGTAAATTCTTTTAAATATTTATTTCCTAATAATATAACCCACTTTTTAACCATTCTGGCATTGATTCTTCATCTAGCATTCCACCCACTTCTAGTTCATCATAATCAATATCCTTATTTAGTTTTTCCCATGGTATATATGAAACGCCATCTTCTACTTCCCAATAGTCTTTCCATTCTTTATCTTTCATGGCTTGACCAGGAGCCCAAGCAACCTATGTTTTTGTATAAAGAAATACATTAATATATAGTTTATGTAAATATTTTTTTAAGTAAATGATAATTCCACTACAATTACATAATATAAAATACATAATATGCTGTTTGAAACAGAAATAATAATTTTTAAAAAAAATTACCTAATGGATGTCAGATATCCAGGTTTTCTTACATAAATTTATATTTAACTTATTTATCTATACAAACATCCCAATAATCAAATAGTATTAGGTGATTCTATTTTTTTAGAAATCTATGACACAACACTCTTTTAAGTTAAAGAATAATTCAATAAATTAAATTTTTACTATACTATGATAACTATATTGAATTATTTTTTATGTGTTTTAAGTACTGCAAAGGATTTATAGTACTAATTATATGTACATTATAAAACAAGTTTTTCACACACGAGCTGCTACAACCATGAAATTAGTAGATTTTATAATAATAATTTAGAATACGTTTTTTAAAGAGAACTTTGAAAACTTTGTTTATCAACCACCTGTCACTACTAGCATGATTTTCGGTCACATTTTAAATGGGTTTGTTTATTTTAAGTTTCAAATAACGCTTCCTTCAATGCAAATCTGTAGATTGTAAAAATATAAAAATCTATGAAAGGTTAGGTTAGGTTAAACAGATGTGCTTTTAATTATATTTTGAATATTTGGGTGAAAAGGGTGATCAATATTAGTCATATTGGTCTGTCTATATTAATTTTTAACCATATACTATAATTAATAATATAATAAAAATATTTTTCAGAATACTATTACTTTTGATTTACTCACACATAAAAACTTAGAAATTTACCATGGTCAAATTATATTTCTTTCTTTTTTTTTGCTTAATAAAAAAATCTTTTTTCAAATTTTGAAAAAAATTGTAAATGGTATAGTCCCACATAGATCTAACTTTAATCTAATTTTCAGATCTTAAGTCCTAAAAATTAAAAACAGTGGCTGCAACGATATGGCTGTTAGAAAAGTCGATATTTATCAAATTAGAGAAACTCGTTTTATGTAAGTTTAGCCACTAAATGTTTTTTTTTTATTATAACAATTTTACACCTATTTTTTAAGAAAACCGTACAAAAATTATATTTTTCTGTTAGTTATTACTTGTGGTCGCCAATCTAGAGGTGGACACATCGAAATTCAAAAATAACTTAATTAAGAGTTACTTTAATATAAAAATAAATTACTTTATCAGATATACATATGGGTCATTTAAAGTTCAATAAATTTATATTATTATATTACCCAGTATAATAAGAATATATTTGTTTAACAATTTATTTAACAAATATAATCTTTAATACTAACACTTATTGGTTTTCCTTGTAATTTTTCTCCTTGAAACTTATGCAGAATGCGAGCCGCATCTTGTCTTCTATTCATACATAAAAAAGCACATCCTCTGGGCGAAATTAAATTCAATGATACTATGTCTCCTATTGGTTGAAACAAGCCATACAAGTCATCTTGGTGGATAAGTTTTGAAAGATGACCAACCCAAAGAGTGGTGCTTACAACTGTAAATATATGTTTGAAGAGAATTAATTGTATTGAATTTTGAACTAATAAATATTTTTTACTGTACCAGCCAAATGATTTTTCCTAAATGAAGGTAAATATTTTTTCCTTCTTTCCCTGTCTCTTTCTCGTTCTTTTTCACGTTCTCGCTGACGTTCACGGCTGCTTCTTCTCGGGGATCTTTTCCGAGATGAACTAGTTCCATAGTTTTCACGTCTTGACTCTTGTTTTTGATGTGGTGGTGACGCTATATGATCTAGATCAATAACCTCTGGCTGTTTTGCTTGATTTGGATCTTCATAACCACTAAAACAAAAATAATAATTAATATTATAAGGAGTAATAAGGTAATTTAACATTTTAAGTAATGATTTGTAGCCGTTATCTCTAAAAAAAAAAAAGTAACGAATAATACTCAAATATAATATTTACATAAGTTGTTGAGCTGGCTTATGATGGATATCTGAGGTAATCAATGGTTGCTGTTGCTGAAAGATTTGTGTATTATACAATTGATTCGTATATAGATTTGGCATTGCACCGATTGACTGAGAAATCATCGGAGCTGGTTTCAATTCACACTCGGAAGCAAAGGGTAAATTCTGAAATAAAATAATTATAATATTATTTAATAGATAAAAAATTATCCATGTGATCATTAATAATTTATTGTTATTACATATATAGGAATAAACATCAGTAGTTCAAAATTAAGCATAAAATACTTATGTCTAATTACTTACCAAGCTGGAAAAATAAGCTGAGATACCGGATCACTCGTTCAGTATATTACCTACCTTTCGACGTCTCGCTACACTGAAATTTTTTTTTTTTTTTTTGAAGAACTAAACAAAATTATAAGCACAGGGACTCGTGTTTGGACTGATACTTTTAGTTTTTCAAATAATGCCTTAATCATACTTAATTATAGGTACACAATGTTTTGCAGTAGTCTTACCTGTACAGTTTGAGCAAGATGTTTGTCAAATTCCGCTTCTTTTCTCATTTCTTTAATCTTGTCCAACTCTGCCTGCTGTTTAGACTGTGTGGACATAAGCCCTTCGACATTACGCAAGGTGCGCAGAACTTCTGGGTTACTCAAAAGGCTGAATTTAAAAAATAAAAAATTCTCTATAAACCAAACACTATGCAAAATGGTGAATATTTTCGTCTAATAGAAGTAATAACTTCAACATTAAAAAACTGGTAAATTTAAAGATATATTTCAAAGCATATTCTTATGTGCTATTTTTTTTTGCATTATGTATTGATGGCAAACTAGTTTCTATATTTAACTTATTTATAATATTATATTTTTCCAAAATAGTTGTGGTATCATAAAAAATTATTTTTAACTAAGTGAAAAAAAAAATCATGCAATCCAAACACAAGTATGTGCACAAAAAATATTAATAATATAATTATTGTAAATGTATTTTTAAATTAAATAAAACTGTAAAACATTATCATAGACTAGGAGTAGTCCTTAATTCCTGTTATTTATGCAGTTCATAAATTATGTATAACAACATAGGTAAAGCATTCATTAATGATATCAAAAACACCTTATTTTATGCTGATATAATTATATGATTTTTTTTACAACTGAAGTGTATTTGTTCATCGTTCACTGTGTAAAAAATTATGATTCTTAAAAGTAAAACCTAATAACTTATATTTTATTAAAAATTCTCAGTTAATATGTGTATTTCGTTTCTAAAACCTAAAATAGTTGTTTCATTTCTTTAACAATCATAACACTAATCTATATGAAAATATAATTATTAATTATATTTCAAAAAAAATGTAAATTACTCAATACAAACCATTGTAGTACATATTATTGTTCTTCCAAATTCTGAAATTAACCGTCTACATATTGTTCATAACCCTTTAATTATTCAATCTATATTATTTTCATTTTTAAATCTTTAAATGATTGAATATATATTAGCCTCATATATATTATATACATATATAAACATATTTTTTCTCCCGTTCTTCAAATCAACATGCTAATTTTACAATTTATTTTTTATCCTTTGAAAAATTCATACTTTTTTAATAAGTGTATATAAATATATATTTTATATATTCTTCATACCTATATAAAAATTACTCTTAAGCGTAAACTATTTGCTATTATTTTAACAAGCATTATTTTATTTATAATATTTTTTTCCTTAAAAGCACAATTAACTATTTTGAATAAGCATAAATTGTACTAAAATGTATTTAAATGACATGTAAACAAACCTGTCTAGTCCTTCTAATGATGTATTCTGGTGTTGTTGCTGTTGCTGAAATTCTGGAGACTGATTGAGCATTTCATCTTCCTCTTCTCCATAATCATAATCAAGAAGTTTCTTATCAAACAGTTTAACCTAAAAAAAAGTAATTAGAAAAATATTAGTAAAAATTCATCAATAAATTAATAAAACAAGTTAATTACCGAGTCAGATTTTTTCAATTGTGGAGATGAAGACGACTGGTTTGGTTGTTTCTTTAATAAGGATTGAATGGCTTGTAAATGTTGAATTATTGCTGGATCATAAGTCTTATCATTATCCAACCCCTAAATTAAAACAAATTAAATAAGAAATAACCAACACAAAAATATCATAGACTACAGATTTAAAATATATTACCTGTAAAGAATCAAAACTTTTCGATGAATTATCTTTACATGGTATGTTGTCTTGGCTCTTAAAAATATCAGTTTTAACACCTGAAATATACAAATAGGAATTTTCAAAATGTACCCAATGAAATTTATGACAGGTTTTTAAATAAGTAGGGTATGTTTTTTTATAGGGAAAAGTATGATTATTTAGCTAATCCATTCTTATAAAATTAGTTGTGTCTTGATTGTAGTGTAGTACATCTAGATAAACTACATAACAAACCAAATAGCTATAATATTAAAATTAGAATTACTTATTTTTGGGCTATTTTCAATTGATGACAATGGATTAGTTTGGTTAGGTTCTTCGTGTTCTGGGTTTGCCGCTAAATCAAAAATTGGCTGGATCACATCAGTGGTAAATACAGCATTTTTTTGCCACAGATTTAATACCCGTATTACTTTGCTCTGATGACAATATAAAAATAAACAAAAAGGTTGAAACAAATTAAATAAAAATAAATTTACTTTGTCTTCTTCGGCACAAACAAATAAATGTGAAAATGTTGATTTTAGATTTCGTGCAAATCTTGGTGCAAATACGTCTTTGTCATTTCCAAATTGATGTCTTGACTGTCGTACTATTGAATCAATTACATACAAACCAGGTATCTTGTATTCAGGCTTACACTAAAAAAAAAAATGTTTAGTATTAGTTTAAAGACATCTAGTATTAAAAAGAGAATAAAAATGCTTTACTAACCCTATGTATAAACTTTTCAACACATTGAACCACATGTTTATACAACTTAATGGCTTTAATTGCATTTCGAGTAATAGCTGTCATTTTTGCTTTTGATATAGGCGGTTTCATTTCCGTGATGGAATATAACTGTATAAGATAAAACAAAAAACAAAAAAAATTAACTAAAAGTATACCATACAGTCGTAATTTAAGATGTAAAACTAGCTATTAGTTAAATAAAGCATATTTCGAATAAAGATTATTTGAATAATCTTTTTAGAATTCATATGAATAAAAAATTGTTTTCCTATAAATCTTTTTCTTCAAGCTTAAGAGCCTTTAAGGCCCAGCACATAACTTATACTAACTTTCATTTGTGAATTTCCTAGCATCTAATTAAAACTAATTTACTAATTTGGTTACCCTTTTTTTATTGTCAAATATATTTTTTTTCTCTTATTACAAATTTAAACTAAGAAACCCGCAGAAACCGCTATTTTAAAATTTTAAGCTACTTGAACTTTGGGCAATACCATTAAGCGGCACTTGCGTAAAGGAGTATACTGTATGCAAATCAGCCGCATCACCAATTACTAGTCACAGCGCTGTAGCTATCAGTGATTTTCATTTTAAAAGTACAGGCAAATAATAATGCTTCAAGGACGCTACACCACCCATTTATTAAGAAGTAAAGTATAAGCAATATTTCTCAAAATCTTAGATTTTTAATTTTTTTTTGTTAGACTAACACAGTCATTTCTACAGGACTACAATTTTTTTCCCATCAAAACTGTTTTGTGTGGGACAAACTTAAGACAATAATCACAGAAGAATTATAAAAATTTTCCCAATTTACAGAAGAAAACTATGTGTTGTACCTAGCGTTTTTTTTAAAGAAAAAAATGCCTTGCAAAAGTTAATTCATAGCATAAATTATTTACAAAGTTTGAAAAAAAGGGTAATGAGAAATTATATATAATATATTGTACAGATGATCACAGAGTGGGTCAACTTATTTGGAATTGAGTATAGTAAAATAACAAGAAAAGAAGCTCGCAGCAAAATAAGTTTAATAATAGTAACTAGTAGATACTATTATAGGTTTAAGTTTATTTAAACTACATACTGAACAACCTAGTATTTTGTCTAGGCAAAATAGGTGAATACCCATTTTGCTTTCTTGTCGTTTTACTAGCAACTACATAATTGGGTTTAGCCGCCTAGTTATTATCGCCTATTATACCTAATCTGATGTCGAGATAAATTTAATCGATCGATTAGGTTCAAACTTGCTCAGACCATACCCCAAATCAAATAGCCGTCTACTATTATAATATTATCCTACCTCAGCTGTGAAAGCTTTAACCGCGTCCATCGCGAGCGGCAAGGGGTGAGTCGACCAAGTGAAAAATGCACAAACGAAATACGGGTAACAACGTACGAACACTAATCACCAAAGCATAATTAATATGTATCGGTAAAAATATTATCGTCGAACAGTGAAAACAAAACAACAGTGTTTATTTACACGGCAAAGCGCAAAATCGCCCGAACACGACCATTTTCATTTCGATACACACGACTGGTGAGTGGTATAAAACACGATTACGACTTACTATACTGAAGAGTTCGAGATTACGCGATGGCGCATTGTATTGGTTGCGCGCCGCGATCTTGGCAGCGGCCAGTTCGCCCGCCGCTTCAGGCTTGCACGGATAAATGTGAATTCGCACTGTACAGTGCAGCCACTACTGATTGAGAAGATATCAAAATGGCGGGATTTTTTTTTTTAATTTCAATTGCAGCATACTTTTGTACTTGTCAATTAGGTAGACTTTTTGTTTTTATTGTAATAAAAGGCCTCAACTACCGAGGTCATTGGCCAATAGGTGTTGACACGGATATATCTTATGGCTGGGGGTCATTCAGAAAATTTGTCCGTCACGTTTTGAGCGACAAGTGTCACAAGGCTTATGGAGAATTATGGAGGAGTATAAAGGAATTATGAAGGTGAATTTATAGATATAGTGGATTAGAGCAGGACATATCTATGTTTATTGATGTATCTGTATGAAGTGTGGATATTCTTGACTTTTTTTTACATTATGGTTATATCGCGTTAACAAATTAAGTAAATTGACTACATTATACGCCCAATTATCTAGCGTCCAAAACACACCTACTATAGAGCTATAAAATACTTACAACAAAAACGAAAGATGACAAGATTTTTGGAGACAATTTCATATCCTTTTTTTGATAAACCTAATACTGAATATTTAAAATTAAAATTTTTACTTTTTTAAAACAATGATTAACTTTTTTTATGATATTATTTTCAAAATAGGATATTGCATTGTCTCCGAAATTTAGTTATAATTGTATAATACATTTATATTAATTTTAGAATAGGTTTTTTTGCTCTAAACAACTATTGACCGAGTAAAACGTATTCCGCATAGCTATGTTTAGAAGACATTTTTCTTTAAATCGCTGTAGGATGCTGTAATAGTCCGAAAAATAAATTAACTACCAAAAAATAGTTCAGATCACAGATTACAATTTAACCTTTAAATTAAGATTTTGCAAAAAATTGCCTCTACCTAACTCCTTAATAAATAGGGGTATAATGTCCTCTTAAATATTTTATATGCCCATTCAAATATAAATAATGCTGGCCGCTGGACTGCACAAGCAAGTCATTGGTCCTAACATGGTTTATGGAACTAACAGTTTTTAATATTTTAAAAATTGATTTATAAAAAAACAAATAATTTTTTCGTAGGTACCGTTATAATAAAGTGCTGTATTTACAAAAAAGACAGGAAAACACTAAACATAGTTAAATATATTAAAAAGCAAACACAGTCTGGACGAAGCATACACTTACTCAAAATTTGTTTTACACTTATTTTTCTGATACTTGTCAGCTAACAAGACTACCAGAAAGAGACGTGAACTTCCAGTAGGATAAAAATATATGTCGGGTTATTTATTATAACACATATTTACATAATTTATCACTTTATAAATAGGAACCCACGTACATTAGTCAAAAAGCTGTCAAAATTGTCTTTAAAACGACATTTCATAATACGCTGTCCATTGAATTCTATATTGTTGGTTAGTAGTTCTAAGGCATTTCTTAGACGTTCAGATATTAAAGTAGTGTTTTGATTGGTAATCAACTGCATAGATATTTGTTGAAACTCTTCCTGAAAAAATTTAAGGCAAGTAATAAATATTTTTATCTTCAATATTTATCAACTTTATGTTAATTAATTAATTTTTTATTTATTGATAATACAGAGCGATCCCAAAAACAAAATGGAATTAGTATATAATGTACAACTTGATTACTAAACAATAGAGCGAATTCAAAATAAACTAATAGAAAATAGGATATTCAAGACAAATTATAAAAGAAGTTGAGTCATAATAATTAGAGGTATAAAACTGGGTTATGAAGGAGATATGAAAATGTGTTTTAAAAGTTGGTACGCGGAAGTCGATTAATGATAGGAGAAAAGAACAATCAATTTAATTGGCGAGGTTTGAAAAAAAATGTCTATGACCATTACTTTCTGTCAATGATATAAGATGTAAGCCAGGACAACAATGAGTTAAGTGCCTTTACCAGGTTAGAGTAAATCAAGTTAAAGCAACAAGTCAGTGTAAATGACATCCAGTAGATAGTAAATACCAATAGCTTCATTGTTTTAAGTAGACAAAACTAGATTACAGGTGGTAGTAGATCTTCATGGTCGGAATCTAAGTTGCTCATCAGCCAACCAATGGTTGACGGCAGGCCTAAAAGTGTGTCAAAATATGACAGAGTAGTCATAAGAAAATAATTGGAAATATTTATGGGATCGCAAGCTTCTACTATGGGAGTGATGGATCCAATCTTTAACATTGAAGGAGAAGTGCCTTTACATAATAATTAATGTTAACTTAAAATGTAATCTTACCGGATAACAACATATCAATGTATAGAGTACGTGGCCAATGTTTGATAACGCGTCTGAACTAATTTGGCACGAAATAATAAGTTCCATTAAAAACTATGCAATCAATATAAAAAAAAATATTTTAAAACATTGGTAGTTTAACATCAATATTTATCAAGCATATAACTAAAATTTTTTGTGAAATATAAAATAAGATTTATTACCTTTAGAAAAGGTTTCAATAAGCTATATGCTTCATATAAAGTACAATTTTCTTTGCTATACAAAAATGAAGCAGACGCTTGTAGGAAGTCTGTACACAATGATGTAATTTCATGTCCAAACATAGTCAATCCTAATTCAATTGTAGTTAATACGCCTTTAAAAATTTCAACATTATCAATGCACAATTTTGCAGGTACCATGTCACACATGTAGGAAACATACTGTAATCAATAAAATAATACCGTCACAGTTATTTTTTTTTCATAGATATTGTTGGTAACAAATTAACAATTATTTATTAACTTTTACATAGTTCAAGCTTACGCTTATTTCTAAAATTCAGGATTTTTTGTTGACTGTATTTATACATTAAGTCCAGTTCTTAAGAAAATTATAAAACCGCAAAACAAAACAATTCCAAAGCACTTAATTGATATTAAATTTAAAAAGAATAATAAATTAGTTCAAATGGGTTTTTTTTCTTGAATTTATAAATTCATTATGAGCATATTTTTAAATAATGAATTAAAAAAAAAATACAAGCTGAAATGGGAATACTATTTAAATCAGTGGACTAGATTTTTATGGTATACGATACTATCCTTTAAACTATCATGCAAATATGGATCCAACAGTACAAGCAATTGAAATATAACAAATTAGTAAAAACTGTAAATCTGAAACACATATAGTAAAAAAGAAATTTTTTTTGAATTTTTTGCAACACCAAAGGTTACTCAAAGAAGTCATATTGAGTATCTTTTATCATCATGTCAAATAAGCTAATAACATTTATCAGATGATCAAGCAAAATGCTATTTTATACTACACAAATGATTTTAACGAGGACATAATTAAAGGAAAAGTGATTTTACATGCAACCTTGTTTAAGATATTAATGTTGAATACAATTCTTTAGAAATTATGACATATACTTACTCTATAGTACCGAGAACACAATGAAGGAAATTTCAATAAATCAATAGTCATCAAAGGCAAAATTATTTGAAGTCCATAAACACAGACATCCCCGGCTGTTTTTCCATTAGTGTTTTTACCTTTCAAAAAATTCAAATAAGAGCAAATTTAATGCTAAATATAGGAATAGTTAAATAACTAAAACGACTAAGAATTTTAGCTATACCATCAGAACTAAGGTCCAGAACTTCTTTAGACATAATGTGAGTAAGGAGGTCTAAAAAAATATAAAGATCTTGATAACACTGATCTTCAGCATCAGAGTCTAATGAAAGTCTGTTAATATTGTAACGAGCATACATATCAACTAATTGATAGCACGATCCATAAAATCTATCACTTTCTTCCTGAAATAAAAAAAATTAATGAGTTTTAACACTTTGTTTATAAACATAGAGCTTATACTTACAATTTTAAGAAAACATAATAATTTTTTTGAAACCTCACAAAAGAATTGAAGAATCAAATGAACAATCAGTTGATAATTATGATATAAGCCAATCAGCATTGAAAAATCATTCAGAGTCGGATATAAAATAGAAAATATTGTGTCTGTTGTATTTATTACTGCTCCGCTAGCTAATCCAATACATTTATGGAGAATATCCATTATTTCTAATCTAATTTCATCTTCATTGTATGTTTTCCTAAAGTTTACGTTAGAAATTATCTTCTTAAACTTCTCGAGTGTAGGATTTAATACCTGAAAATAGTAATATACTAATTAAAGGTTGTTAAAACTAGAATTTTAAATTATTTTTAAGTTAATAGCCAAGGTATCAGTAATATAACCAAAAAATCAAAATTTATTTTTACATACACTTGTAAAATATTCATTTTGTTTTTCTTTATTGTTGAAAGCATCTCCAACTAATGAAAATGCTTTATACAATCCTTGTTTGACTTCAGGAACTAACTGGTCTTTATGAACGTTTTCTTGTAGATGGAAAAGTTGACCAAATCCTTCACAGTTTACAACAACTTCAGCTCTACATACAATATATAATAATTATAGATTTAATTATTGGACAAAATAAATAAAAATTACATTATAACTTTTTTTCAATCGATTTAAGAACATTTATTTTTATAAATAATATACATTAACATTCTACATACTTGTGTCTAACATCTACCAGTGCAATTAATAAGCCAACTGTATCTTCAATAAGATTTATATCAACATACAAAGGAGATTTTATGTTATGTTTCACTTTATGAAGTAAATAATTTAATACCCAATTTGCAGTATCTGTGTTTTGACCGAATGCTTTTAATAATGGCATACTTAACTAGAAAAATTATTGAAAACAAATAAATTATGAATAACAGCCTTTTAAAATTATAAAGTTTAAATAATAAGGATAAAATATAAAATTACCTCATTATAATAAGTTTCATTAGGCATTAAATACGCTTGTGAAAATTCACGTAAAAACCATACAATAGTACCACTTACTAATGGACTACAAAACGTCTCCATTTTTGCTTCAATCAACTTTTTTTCTAATTCTGACAAATGAAACGCAACTGACACTAATCTAAACATTAATAAACATTAATTGAAGTAGCATAATTAATTAACATGTATGCTTTATTTTTTTTCAAGGTTTAACTTAGGTCAATTCTAAAAAAATAATTTACTTGACAACATCATCTATAGCTTCTTCCGAACCAGGAACGTCCATTACTAACATTTGATTCATAAGGAATTTTAGTGTCATATCAATATTGACCTTCTTACTTTGTTTAATGCTATGATGCATAATTTCAGATGGAATCATACTGGGTTCACCCTCACTATCAACAGTAAGTACATGCCCTAAATACAAACAATAACATAATTTAAAAATACAACTTAAAGCCATTCTAAGTGATTGGTCCACGAATTACGTATTGATTATAAATATACCTGCTATTAAAAACATCCAATGTATGTTTTCATGGATTGAGTCAACATGTTGTTGAAAAGATTCTGACCAATTACTTCCTCCACCACTATGAACGTGCTCAATAACTGTTCGCATTTCTTTAATTTGACCTTCTATTAAAGTTACCAACAGTGGTAAGGTGTGTTCCAGAACCTATTTTGTATATAATTTAATAATAAAGAACATATATTATATTACTATTATATATTTTATTTTAAATAGCATATATTTATAAAATGTGCTATACTTAAATGTGTTAAAAATGTTACTTACTAATCTACCAAATATTCCAATATATTGTAGTTGTTCTTTATTAGCTACACGATCATCTTCTTCGTTTATATTAAACTCAGTATCAATATTAGTCTTAGTTCCATTAGGTGGTGATATATGACATTTTAAATACGTGTTAAAAATCTGTATAGATGCATTTTTGCATACATCTTCAGGAAAAGCTTGGTTACTATTGGTAATTATGGACACCCATGGTTGTAAAATATTGTTAAATGCTTCAAAATACATTTGATCATCTTGGCATAACTAGTAAAAAAATTGTTTTTAATGTAAATTCAAACAACAAAAATGTTTAACTTTTCTTCCTAGAAGGATGTGGTGTTAGCCCTTAATGGGTCACATAGGCTAAATTATTTTTCCAGTTCAAATTTGTCAACTGAGAATTGATATTAAAATACAGAAAGCTAATAAAAAACCATTAATTCATATTTAATTACACTTCATTCTCATCAACTAAATAATTGACTTATACATTTGTAAGGAAAAGTTAGAAATAAAGTTAGACAGTTAACCAAAATTAAAGATATTATTATACCTCACACAATTTTTCTATAGAATTAAAAACTTTACGTGCAAACAGGGAAACTAAAGGGATGAAATCTGAAAAAAAAATTATGGAAATAGAGACGATTAATAGGCATCTAATGTGGAATTTCACAAAAAAAAAAAAAAAATTATAAAAGGACCACTCTAATAATATATATAATATATATCAACTGTTTGCAGTCTAATGGCATAAGTGCCAAAAACCTATTTTTCAGGAGTGCGTTCTATCTATTTGCCATAGTGTCGCATATGCTAAAAAGTGAATTTCGAGAAAATTATCGCTTATGCAAAATAGCCTGCAAACAGTCTATATATATATATATATATAAATATATAGACCCTTAAAACAGAACTGACCAATCAGGTATCATGTTTGAATAACGACTAAAGGAATTTAAAACTGACTGAATAATAATAATATAAACATAAATAACAATATAAAGACGTAACTCACATTCTCTTCAGTAGCAGCCCCCTCAGCAAACTGGCAAGTAAGAATGGTAATGTGTTCTAAAAAACTTTTAATAAGTTCAGAAGGAAATTGACTAAAAACTGAAGGAGGATATCCACTTATTACTCGTTTTATAATAGTAGAAATACCAATTGATTCTCTATCTAAGACTTTGACCCTGGAAAGAAGTATAATAAAAAAAAAAAATGATTGTAAAATAAATACCTTTCCAGCTTCACATTGAAGTTAACATATTTAATAAATTATCACAATATTTTACTCACATAGATATTAATTTTATGAAATTTTCTAAATAATTTTTCATATATGCCAAACGCTCGTTCATATCAACCCATACATTGCCACTGATAGAAGACAGCTGGACGAGACAGTTCATACAGTGATGAGAGAATTGTGGATTATCCCGCACTAACCAATATACCTGAAATTAATATTAATAAAATATAATGAAAACATAATATAAATAAAATTATCATTTTACTTATGAGTTGAATTGCAAATAATATTACTTGGAAATATAAATTAACAGTGCTGGGATTTGTAATAATATCTCTCCATTCTGATCCAAGTTTTAATGTAGGACTATTTTCTGAATTATATATTACTTCAAACATTCCCACTAAACGCTTAGGCAGTAATCAAATAGTTAAGAAATATTTATGAATTTTAGATAGTGTCTGCAAATTTTAAACATAAATTAACAATATGAATAGCAGCAACAACTCATATTCAATTTAGCTATAATTTGATTATAATTATTATTAATCAATAGATAATACCATGTAATTCCTTATTTTAATTAATAAACATCTAGAATAAATAGCTAAAAAGGATATTGCTAGTAGAAATAAATCCCCATACTAAAACATTTTCAGAAATGTTTAATAATTGTTTGAGAACAGCCAATGTGTCAGATGACAACGGCTGTGAAAGATTTTGCATTTCATTTAGTGCTCGTGTACTAAATAAAAATATACGTTTCAAGTCTTTAGCCTGTAAAAAAAAAACCAAATAATTATTTTTTTTTTTTTGTAAACATTAAAAGTAACAAATCAGAAATATGACAGAAGTATCTATACTTTTGTAAACAGTTTAATTCGTAATTTACCTCAAACTCTTTTTTAGCGGCATAATGTGATTCCCATGATAAACCTACATCAGTAGATTTAACTGTAGTAGAATATTCTTGCATTAATGCTAAAATTATTGAACAGCCTAAAATTTGTTGCTGAGCCAAGAAATTATAATAAAAGTAAACAATTTTATTAAGTAAGACTTAGAAAAACGTAACCATAAATAAATAGATTTGTCAATTGATAACCAATATGTTACCTTTTTTGGATCACCATTGAAAATTAATTTTTCTACTTCATTTAAAATATTTTCCCTTTCTCGACCTTTGTCTTCAACGCTTCCTCGTTTAATCATGATTGCAATTACCTTTTTAAATAAAGAATTGTAATTGTTGATTTATAGTTAATTTTTTATTTAAAAATAGTAATACATTTTAAATAATATTTCTATGGTGTGATAACAGTGTTAAGAAAATCATTGTAAACTCAATAGTTATTCAGTCATCCAATAAAGCTAAAACAATAGACCATTGAAATAAAGCCGACATACTAGGGACTGAATATAGTTGAGAGAAAATAAAGTAGAGGTCACAGATTGTTTTAGTAAATATTATAACTGAAAATAATAAACACTAACTTTAAAAAAAAAAAATCTTTCGATAGAAAGATAACACTAACTTTTGAAGACGATAAGTAATTATTAATTAATATTAATATTAACCACTAAATAGTCAATAAAAAGGTTTATAATTGCTATAACTTGTGGTCAACCACAGACTGTATGCACTTGGGTAGTATCCCTGGATCCTCTTTAAAATTTAGGGCATGAAAATAAATATGGGTTAAAATTGAAGTGCTTAAATTCAGTAACTTTTTTTTTTTGAAAAAATAACTACATGTGCCAAAAAGCTTAAAAAAATATAGAAAAAACAATTTGTTAAGTCCAGTTCTATTAAAATTTTTTTAAAAACTAGCAAATAACTGTTAATATATTATTTTATACTTGTATTAAACATTAAATTACCTGCAATATTCGTTCTCTAACAAAAGGTGCTATGTTACCTTCCTGCATGATAAAATGGAACAAATACTGTCTGAGTTCATTTTTTTGTTCTTGAGACAATAGAGTCCAGTCTCTAATAAGTGCGTCTCTCAATGTACCAACAGTTTCAAACAACACAAAATCAACTTTACTGCAATCTATATAATAAATATTTGAATTATTTTAATAATGATAAAATAAGTATATAAATTAATGTAATGTCCACAACAATTTTTTAAAAAAGGTATTTGTCTAAAAGTATTTTTCAAATCATTAAAGAATTAATTTTATACACACAGCTTTTATAATGTGTTTTAGTAAATTTATTTAAATTTGAATAAATATAATATATTACTATATTATAGTATCTGAAATGCCACCAGTTTTATTTTATATCTTCTGCAAGAACAAATATAATACGCATGCATGAATAATTTCCAATTTTAGAATAATATATAAATAATTAATTAATAAAAGTAATTGTTTGAATACTTCTTTATTAGAATACTAAACAGTGATTTATTCAAAAATATAACTTATAAACCTTAGTACTAGATTAATTAAGTAAAGATATCATCATAGGTTTGTGATAAAAAAAAAAAAAAAAAATAGAATTATTTATAAGGAAACAAAAATTGTACTCAAATCCGAGATAAAGCAAAGTCAGTTAGTACGATAAATACACTCAAATGAAAAATATTTATATAAATTATATTTTCATACCTAATAGACAAACTCTACAACTTAATGTAAATTAGTCAAATTCAATTTTAATTCTTACCAAGTATATAACGGCATATCGAATAAGGCATGTTTGTTTTGCGGAAATTCATGAATACTTGTTCAGCAGCACAGCGTTGTTCATTGGAAACAAGTGAAGGCGATGCCTACCCAAGGAATAAAAAATCAAATAAATAATTTCTGATTAATGCCAATAAAAAAAATACTAACAAGCATAACTCTGCCAGCAGCTTCGAGTTCTTGTAGTACTTGATGCGCTTGTTCCATTTTTGTGAACTGGATTTAATATCGAAAATCGTACTTAGAATATCAACAAATTTTCATAAAAATAAATGTAATATCATACATTATTTCAATGAACGTCTAATTTTCGTACACCGTGTGAAAATAGGACATACATTTTCACGTATAACACAATATTGATATTTTTAAAATTAATAACTGATATCACCTTATCAATTGTGCGTATGAAACACGGAGAAGCGAGCGGCCTATACTAGTAACCAGATTGATTTATAGTACAAACAGATTGCCCATAACAGCGGTTATATAAAATATAGTGGAAACCCGTCATTTAGTATATAAATGCTCCTTAAAATTATTATTTATTTTTTAAATTATATTTTGTACTATGTTTTAAAAGTATACATATGTATTTATTTTGCGCTTAATAGATTTTCGCACAGAAAATGGTAAAGTCACACTGCAATTCCATAAATGTATATTGTATTTGTAAATCTTATTGACATTTGGATATTTATCTCGTTTTATTTAAAAATATTCCTAATAAGGATTTTGGAAATGTTATTGCAATAGAAAACCTATTCGTTTTAGAATTTTAATCCTTTTTTTTTTATGGACTGTTTAGAGTGGTATAATTCTAGTGACCATTCTTTGTTTTATATTTCGCACACAAAATTATAGCTATTTTTTTATTCATTTAAATGGCTCTTATTTTGTAAATATTAAACCAATTTTAAAAATTATTGTTCCTCATCTTTTATGAAAAAAACCATCTCTACGAAAAGGTTTTTGTAATATATTTAAAAATAATTTTTTTGCGGAAAAAACCCATTGTTCTTAAGCTATTAGAATAAATACATAGACCGTGTTTAACAAAATCCACCTAGACATTGTTAAAATGCCTCTCACACCTGTCACCTTTGTACATTCTTTTGAACACAACTTTAAATTAAAACCTTTAAATTAAGATTTTGCAAAAAATTGCCTATACCTTACTCCTTGATAAATAATAAGGGGTATATTTCTTAATATAACATCCTCTTAATTATTTTTTTATTATTATTGTTTCTTCTATTTCAATGTTGATATGCCTATACAAAAATAATTGTAATTGGGCTTTATCCGTTTAAATATAAATAATGCTGGCCACTGGACGGCACAAGCAAGTAAGTTCCTAACATGGTTTATGGAACTAACAGTTTTTAATATTTTAAAATTGATTTATAAAAAACTAATTTTTTGGTGGGTACCTTTATAATAAAGTGATGTATGAACTCTTAAAACTTCAAAAAAATGTATCCAAAACTGGTTATCAAACAGTACATGGCCGTATTCAGGGGGGGTTTTCCGGGTTCAAACCCCTCCCCCGAAATTTCATCGAATAATATTTGTATTACCTTTCCTTTATGTCTTTTGCTCCATTTTTTTTAAAGTATTCCTGAAAATGATGTAAAAAAAAAAAATTTATGTAAGTTTTCTTTTAACTTTAAAGCCTAAAATAGAATTAAATAATAATAAATGCGTGATATTATCGTTATCGCCTGCTGAGGTTTATGGACACGCCAATGAATTTTATTTTTTTTCGAATTTCGTTGATGTACCTTCTTATTGAAAGACGTCCATAAGGAGGAATACATTACTAGTACCAAATCAAGCACTAGAAAAATGTCTAGAATTAACAAACCAGACATATAAAAAAATGTTTTTTCAATTATTTAATTTTAATTTTAAATAGTAAGAATTTTACTGAGCAGAGAAACTTAGTACAATTATTTCGTCTGTAGTTAATCCCGGACCCTTACAGCTGTATATAATTAAATTATTATTTATATTTAAAATAAATTACTACATGTTTTGCTTACCGGTTACTTCGTATTAGGGATTGTATACTCGTTTCCAAACCACCTATGAGGTAGAGTATTTGGCTCGTTTTTTTTAACGTGGTATCTCCATCTACGATGATGCTCAAATTGTATTTACTGTACAACCACCAGAAATGTGTGGTAGGGGCGTTTCAAAAAATTGTAGACTTACGCATAGATGTCGATCCGGGCAAAACTTAAGACTAACTTATGACTAACTTAATGACTAAAATATCCCGGTATCGACAGACTGAGCGGCCACACAACAGACAATGGTGGACTTACGCATCGAAGTCGATCCGGGCATAACTTATGACTAACTTAATGACTAAAATATCCCGGTATCGACAGACTGAGCGGCCACGCATTAGACAATGGTGGACTTACGCATCGAAGTCGATCCGGGCAAAACTTAAGACTAACTTAATGACTAAAATATCCCGGTATCGACAGACTGAGCGGCCACGCAACAGACAATGGTGGACTTACGCATCGAAGTCGATCCGGGCATAACTTAAGACTAACTTAATGACTAAAATATCCCGGTATCGACAGACTGAGCGGCCACGCAACAGACAATGGTGGACTTACGCATCGAAGTCGATCCGGGCATAACTTATGACTAACTTAATGACTAAAATATCCCGGTATCGACAGGCTTTACGTAAAAGAGAGTACGAAGGAGGTTATCCAGTAGGATCACGGGATAGATATTGGTAATTTGATTTACAAAAAAATCTTGTTGGTGTACAAAATGTTGTGACTTGATTAACTGGACACAAATTTTAAAGTATGTAATTAATTTTTACTGAGCAGAAAATGTGAGAGGCTTATGAACTATAACGAGAACGACCACGACGCGAAAGTGAGAAGTTACCAACGAAAAAATTTTTAAAATAATTTAGTTCAATTATCTAAAATGACAATAGTTCTAAAATGTGTAAATTTACTTAAATAAATAAATTATAATTGTGCGGTTGTCCAAAATAATTTATAAAGGAAGAACTGAGAGTAAAATGGCATCATCGTACATAGACCTAATCCACACAGTACTTAACTTAGTAGAGGGGAGGGGAGGTAACTCAATTGTTTAGATATTTTAGCGTAGGTACCTACTAGGTATCTTTATTTTACTTCCAAGGGAGACCAGAATATAGTACTCAGAAATGTATTGATTTAGTTGAAAAAAATATTTCCAATAATTACACTCCCTTTTTATAAATTCGTCTGAGGAATACATTACTTATACTAAATCAAGCACTAGAAAAAGGTCTAGAATTAACAAACCAGTCATATAAAAAAAAGGTTTTTCAATTATATTATTTTGAATTTAATATGTAAGAATTTTACTGAGCAGTGAAACTTAAGTACAATTATTTCGTCTGTAGTTACTTCTGGACCCTTACAGCTGTATACAATTAAATTATTATTAATATTTAGAATACATTTCAAAACTACATGTTTTGCTTACGGGTTACTTCGTATTATTTATACTTTTTAGGAAATTTATGATCGATCGCCACGAGTAAATAATTGCATTTGAATCTAAAAAAAAAAATTTAACATATTAGTAAATAGTATTTAGTAATAATTGGATTTGGACTTTAGATTTGGTATCTAAATTATTATATATTAAGAGATTTCTACACAGCATGCTGGGTTTTTGCATTACCTACTCTGAAATTGTAGGGTGAAATCGCCCTGTTAGACCCTCAAATCCTTAAATTAATTTACCAACTTTTAAAATTCCAAGTGTTCTTATAAAAGTTTTCTTTTTTTTTTAAACAGTTATTATAAATAACAATGAGAGAGAAGAACATATTGCTGTATGTTACATAATATAATAACTGTATGTGTTCGAAATACCTACCATCAAGTCTCCAGGCGAACCCCTTTTTAGTTTTTCGTCGCCTTCGGATTTTTTTTTGAAATAGCTTGAAGTTACGTCCAAACTTATGGTAGAACATGACAGTAATGTTTATATCGTTCGAAAAAGTAATTGTTATAACGTAAAATATCTCTGCAGAACGATTCGACACAATGCATATTGTTCGCAGAAAATATTAAAATCTAAGTACCTATGACTTTTAATATACTATAAATATACAATTGCTATGTCTTGTTATTCAAACAACAAGCAGAAGTTAACATAGAAACGAATTGTTTTCATCAGTTAAAAACTCACATAGAGTCAGCAAAGGTTTGCAAATTTTGTTTTCAAGGAGATCCTATATTATATTATATTATATATAATAAAGGATTTCTTTGAACACAAAATTTGCTTTACATTATTAATATTAATTTAGCAAAGATTGAATTAATTGACAGAGTAATTGTGGATGATAGAAGGGTAAATTTAGTAGCACGTCCATTATGCACATGCGTTTTATTCAAACAATTATTTATTATAAAAATAATCTTGATCAAATGAAAGATGTAAAACTTAATTAATTAAATATTAATGAAAATGGTTTGGAAATATTTTTAAATAATATGATGTGTCATTGTTACTTTTTTTTGACATTACACTGGTGCAGACGACGCAACGCCTTAATCAGTGAACAAAAATAAATTATGTTTTTAATCTTAAATCATATGTATATTATTTCTATAATTATTAGGATTTAGGAATGTGATTTTACATTTTTTTTAAAATACAATTTAAGAAGTATAGTTTAGAGGGACGGATAGTTTTATTAAGGCCACGATATGATTAGAGATGCCTACTGAACGATTTTGACGTACTTTCCAACTTCTTAACGCATAGCCCTAGACATGAGCCTTCCCTTCTCTCATATCACCACTCACCGGACCCTATTTTCAAACATGCATCAATTTATTATATACTGTAAAAAGAATATGAGTTTTTTTTCAGTTGTTGAGATAATAAGTAAATAGGACTCATTTATATGGAATCCCAAATACTTTATATAACTTATAAGAATTAAATAAAAATAGTATTTAACAATTAAATTGTTATGTCAAAAATGTTATCAGATTTTAGGACTAATATAGGTCTGTATTACACTTATTAAAGGCGTAATATTAAACCTAACTAAAATTAACATGTTGTTTATAAATTAATAATAATTGTAAATATTATCATTATACAAAATATCAACACCAGAACATAAAAATTGAATTTTCATGTATAATTCACACAGCAATAAATGCCTAGAAAATGACGCCACTGTATATACATACATACATATATATATATATATATATTTTTTTTTTATTAATGATTAACTTGTAAACATAATTAAAAACCAAATACAGTCTAACCAGCGAACAGTTTAAAATCTAAAATAAATATTCTGGCCCTTTAATATAAGGCACCAAATTGAAGGATACATAAACCTACTTTGGCTTTTTAAACACATAATTTAAGACAACCTAAGTACGTTGCCATGCAGACAAAGTAATAGTTTTTTTCTTAAAATTGTGTGAAATTATAAAAATATAAGTATCACTTAAAATACGCCATGTACCTACTAATATTTTTATATTACCGCCGCTTACTTGTGTTCCTAAATTTAACGAGTTGTATTAATATTATTATATATGGATTATTTTATTTAAAAAAAAAAAAATAATATTCACAAGTCTATTAGTTTGTGTTTATATGTAGGCACGTCCTTATTATGAACATAGCTAATTCAGTAGTTTTGATTACGCTGGAAACTTATTATAAATGCTACACAAATGTATGTCTTATTTTCAAAAATAAAAAAATGATGGAAATTTTAGTAAATTACCCCCGAAAAGTATTTCTTATAAATTTAATGAGATATATTTTTATATAGTCCTTCCTTAGGTGGAAAAAACTCGACTTGGGTTGAGCTTCTACCTTAGGATACCCGTGTAAAAGCAGAGCTTAGGTTTGTGCGGATAGCAGTAGTACCATTTACCAGAAAAGTTTCTGGTATCCCAGTACAGGCCTGATCCTATTTACGGGGACTAAAAGGACGATTTTTTAAATTTTGTTTTCAACATTTTACTATAAGCGTTTATATTTTTACTTTTTTTCTAATAAACCTTAATTAATTATCTATTAGCTAATTCAAAACTCGACATTTTAGCCCTCATTAAGAAAATAGTAAGTATCACATAAAAAAAAAAATTTGAATCCGTCCAATCCATACGCCAAAAAAAAACATAAGTAAATTTTGATCAAACTTTTACCATAACTAACTTTAAACTAGAAAAACTTAATATTAGTTCACCTTTAAATTAGTCGACATAGCTACTAGATCAATTTTTGTCAAAAATTGACTTTCTTTTGCCATTAAGTTAATACCCCTTCCCTTTTCTTTCCCCTTAAAAAAATTGTTGAAATTGACATACTAAAACTAGTATTGACATATAAAAATTGAATTTTCAATATCAGAGTTCAACATGAGCCACAGGACTTCATATTCTTTGAGACGTTATCTTTTTTTTTGTAAGATATGTTTTTGAGCAAAAAAAAAACACTAGCACTGGGCACCTTGCAATAGTTATATAAATATATACATACATATATATATATATACATATATATTTATTATAGTTCTTAAAAAAATGAACAACAAAAATAATAAAATAAAATCTATCAAAAAAAAAAATTGTAGTATTGGATCAAAATAAAATAAATAGAAAAACTATAGTAAACACAATAATTTTTAAAGCATTTTCCTTAAATTTTTCAACGCCATTTTCGCAGCAGCCAACTTAGCTTCTTTCTTATTTTTACCAAAACCAAAAATTGTCTGCTTTTTACCATCTACAAATATTTCTAACTGCATCATCGTTCCTAAACCACGTTCTGTTGCTGCTTGGTGTGCAGATGGTTTGCTAATAAAAAAAATGAAAAAAATGTAAGTATTAAATATAACAACTAAAATGCACAAATGGTACAAACCTAAAAACTGGCTGTAGTTTAGTTTCATGTAAAATTCGTATAGGATTTTTTGGGACATTAGTACAAAACTCAACTGAAAAAAAAATCTTTTGTCAATGTCATTTATACTAAAATCATCACTACTTATTGATCAATACAGGGTGTCTAGCCGTAATTTTCTCAAGAGCAAATAAATTAAATGTATTTTGTAACTAACACGGCTGGTCACCCTGTAAGTAAATAACATTTTTTTTTGTCAACTGACTGATTTCTTGTTCCATTAATTGATAGCAAAACTGCCATACAAAATTTAGGTCTCTGCCACAGTCTAAATATATAGCAGCTATCAAAGATTCAAATAAATCTCCCAACACTTTGGGAACATCAATTGCTTCGGCCGCCATACAGTCATTTTCTTCCAACAGGTAAAGTACCTTAGAAATTAAAAATGAAAAAATATAAATTGTCAAAATACATAAAAATAATTGTATTTTCAAGTAATAGCGTACTAAATAAATAAAGAAGTTAATAATAAATCAAAAATATATGAATTAATTTGGTGAAAGGTGGGATGGTCTTATTATTATATTTAAACGGCCATCGTTGCTTCCTTAAAGAAGGAGGTTTATTAATTTATTCGCTTTACATTGAGGATTGTTAACCAGTCGCATGAGAGAGGGATAGAATTTATTTGGCAAGTCCATTAGTAAACTATGACCAAAAAATGTGATGATGAAAAATAAGCGATGTTCCTCAATTTTGTTTAACATTTCTTTAAAAAATTGTAAAACAAGTACGAGTACAGATAAAAAAGTTTTTCAGCCAATTCTGCAACCACGAAAGAGCATTTTCATGTCTCGTTGAATTACCGAATAAATTTCGTCCCTATCTCCTACCCACTATCTCTTATCCCCTAATTCCTACCCTCTATCTCTTACCCCCTATCTCATATCTCTTACCCCTACCCCCATTCCGACAACCATCTCCATTCCAACCCTCACAACATAGATAAAGGTTTGGGTTTATTCTAAATTTTCCTGTTGTCAGAAATTAAAGTTGTATCATTTTATAGCAAAACAACAAATTTCATTCTTAAGTACACTTAAAAAAAACTTAAGGGAAAATAAATGTATCGTTATATGTAATTATGCAGAAAATTATTCATTTTTGGTTCAAGACAAATACAATCCTTCCATTGGAATAACAATTAAGCCTCACTTAATGTCTAATCTATGATTCAAAATTATATCCGGGACAGTTATATTAAAGTTATTCATCTCTTTTACCCCCATCCTTCCTGAATTACTTAATTAAAAAAAACTCAATTACAGGGTGATAATTTGATCTAAAACCACTCAATATCCATATAGGGTTATCTTACAGGTCTCAAACATTTTAATAAGCATTGCTTTGTATCACAGATAATAAATGAAGTATACCTCCTGACCAATTTTATGATTATTCTTTGCCTGATGTTCATAAAAACGATCAATTGCTTCGGTCAACTTTATTGATTCTGCTAATAAAAATCGATGTAATCCAATGCGAGCACTCAAAGAGGCAAACGTGATATTGTTCACGAGTGACGATCGGATATCAGTGATTTCACCAGGCGACTTATTGCTACAGTGTTCAATAATATAAGTTGTTATCAAAAAATCTGTAACAGAATAATTCTAAATCAAATTTTATACCTTGCATATTTTAATTATACAATTTTATACATGGAACTTAGTTTTATATAATAAATTATGTAATATTACTAACCAAGTATTGCATCGCCAAGGAATTCAAGTCTTTGGTAACATTCAGAAAACCCAAATGCATGTGTTGGATGTGTCATAGCTTGGAGTAAAAATTTTTTACATTTGAACACATAACCAATCCGTTTTTCCAATAAATCATAGCCAGGCAAAAGTTCCGATAACGTCTTACTGTTTATTGAATTATTTAATATCGGCTTATTTTCATAAGCTTTTATGTGTTCATTTGGGATGATACCAAATCCATTTAAAATTTTGAATCCTCCTTCAATCCCACAGTTCTAAAATCAATAGGTGTGTCATAGTAAGCTTACAAAATACATTTGTGTGTGTTCTCACATAGACATAAGTTCCAATTAAGGCTTCAACACTGTCGGCAACCATTTTATCTGAAACTGATTGCTTGTCTAAAAATAAATCTGATTGAGTGTAGCCCTGTCGAGTTGTTATTTCGGTATCATACATCTCTTTAAATCTTACACATTCTGTTTCGATGTGTGTCCAAGTCTCTTCAGATAATTCTCCTAAAACCAAATGCTTCAATAAAACTACAATAATAATTATTATTTATGGCACAACCAAGTTTTTAATAGTTAATTGTATTATAATTTAGTCAAACACACTGAAATATTTAATAAAATAATAGACTGTTTCGGGGCTATTATTTGTGAACTTTAAATGTGTTATTAGTACTACAGAAATTCTAAATATTTTCACTTTCATAAAAATAAAGGTACGCCACAAAAGGCTAACAGCCAATGTGTAACGTGCACTAACATCTAACAAGTAATATAACAAAGATAATTTAATAATAATAATAATAAATAAAAATATAATTTTAGCTATATCAAATTAAGTGAAGATAAGATTATTGCACAAATTACTGCAGTAGCTATTATTAGCCAAAATGTAATTTTATGCAAGCAAAAGCATTGCCAATTTAAATATATATTTTATCTAAATATTACATAAATAATAATGCAATAAAAGTATTTGTATTTAGAAATAAGTCAAATTTAACCTATATAAATAGAATCCAATTATCTATCTAAAATTTGTTTTCAAACAAAGTTGTCTAGCCTCTGTAACTTCTTTACTTATTCAACCGTCATAATTGGTAAAATTATCCAACAAAATTTAAGACTTGCTAATTATTTAATTAATTTAACTTCTTCTTATTGTTATATTTAAATTAAACATCATGTTACCTGAGAATTTATCTTCTCTTGGAATAACTATTTGATAAAGGACATCTGATGGTAATTGATCAAATAAATTGATATCGTTTATTAATTTTTCAGGCACAGAAAAACATGGAGGCACCCAGTCTGTTGACGGTTCAAAAACATTTACCTTATAATAAAAAACACATATACTTTAAAATAATTTTCAATTCTAAAATATAATTCATTAAAATTACCATGACGAAGGATCCAAGATTAATGTTTTTTCCAACATATAGTAAATTTCTATTTCCAACTAGTTTCATTTTTAGTTCAGTAAGAACACCTTCGTTTTCTGTTTCAAATGCATCAAATAACACTAGAGATGTGGAAAATTTTAAAAAGCTGTCTCCAAACGTTTCCATGCGCTCATAGTGAAAAATATCATTAGAACATGCAGGTGTTATAGCCTGTGAAAAATTAATTACTATTATACAGGTTAATTTATTAAGCTTTTAATATGTACAAGCTATAAATTATTAAGAACTATAGTTATATTATTATTTACTTGACTATACTCTTTAAACACTTTAAAACAGGCGGAAGACCTTCAAGCGAGAAATACTGATTGGTTTATATTTGGTACCTCCTATAGGAATAGGTTTTAGAAGGGTAATGCTCTAAGGAGGACCATGTTGTCTCAAGAAAATTCAAACTCAAGATGTGCAAGGTCGCAAAATAAATTGTTATCTTATTATTGTTGGTTTATACTATAATATATAATAAATATATGTGACTATGTTAAAGCAATTTGAACCTTATAGTGTTATGTTTAACGTTTAAGTTTTATGAATACTTTAATAAAATAGCCGAAAGGGATTAACATTATGAAATAAAAATAAGAAATAATTTTACATTTCCAGTAACATAATATATTAATGGGCTGAAGGGTGATTTCATATAATAAATAAAAAATTTGCAACTAAAGCTAAAAAAGTGTATAACTATTTTGAAAAATAAAAATTTGTAATAAATGAGACAAATATCCCATTGCTTCCAAAATAGATATCATCATCATAGTAAGTAAATAGAGGTTATAAACTGTATTATGTTTTATTTTACCTTTAAGATGTCACACTGCTTTGGACCATTACTTTTGTTTAAAACATGTTTTGATAATGACTTTAACATTGGCGGGTTGCTTTTGATAAGATTCAAACTGTTCATCTCATGTATCATGGTTTTCATCATTTTAGACATTGCAGCCTAGATTAAAAATTAAGATTAATCATAAAATAAACGATTTTTTAACCAAATTAACATACATAATAAGCTGAAAGTAACAAAGAAAAAAAAAAGGTTACACCCACATACCATTTTTATTGAAATGTGATTACAATAAATATTTACTTTTAAGAACTTAAATAAATTGTTAGTAACAATAATTACTAATTAACACATAGATTACCTACCATAAGGCTTAGATGTTTTATAAGTTATAGTAATACTATTAAATTTAATGAAGCTTAAGAATATTTTAACGTTATTGCATAATATAAGTAGACAATTAATTATATTTATGGGTCTCTATTTTTATTTCATTTTAAAGAATGATTATTTTATTTTTAATAGTAATTTTGTTTCGGATGCAATGACAGAAATTGTCTAGCACAGTTAAGTTATACTTAAGACAATGAAAACAAACAATTATTAAAATGCTTACAAAATTGGAATAATTTTTTAAGATGTTGAGCTTAATTAAATTATTTATAATATCGCTAGATGGCTTCGACTCTATCATTAAACTACAAATTTCTTCTAAGTGCTCCTTATTGTATGATGCATACCTAGGTCTTTTGCATTTCTAAAAATGTAACATCAATTATTATTACAATACCCTAGTTAGTATGTCGTTAAAAAATTCATAATCAAATAAAAATACATAACAGCTTGTAAGTCTTAAATGTTTTGCTTGCATGCATTTTTTAAATTAAAAAAACTACAAAACTATATAAATGCCGGTTTGCGTGGACACATACGAACAACAAATCAATTGTTTATGCAACCTGCATAAGATTAAAAAGCAAAATTACATTATTTTTATTTAATTCAGAACATTTAAAAGCTCATTATCCCACATGCCAATAATTAAACACCACTGCCATGCTGTTTTTATGTTATAAGTAACAAAACAAACATTTATGTTTTAAACTACAAAAAGCATGTTTTGTTCAATATAATATACCAAACAATTTATGTACCGTTTCGTCATTTTCCAAATTATTCTCAATAACATCCTCATCTTCTAATTTGCTTTCTGAATTTGTCTCAGACTGTAATTTAATATAATATACATAATAAATAAAACCTACACAAATTATAGTTAATATGCATGTTAAACGTCATGATATAATAATATACACGCTATATCCCTATATAATTATGGTCTGTGCATAGAATCCCATTAAGAGTGCAAAATCACTGCTTCTGTTAATATTGTTTATTATTAATAAAGCAATACAATATCAGTACCGAGTATTTAACTTATAAATATAAAATTGTTATATTGTTTATTTAAAAGTCTTAAAGTTTACACTGACCTCATGAGCTTTTAACCGAGAAGATTTCTGAAAATAAACATTAACGTTAAATTTGGGAATAATAGTATAGTGAGTTTAAACATTATCTTAAGAAATTATGTGTAGACATATTTTGGCAAAAGCTACACAATCTACACATTTACCTACACAAGTATGCTGTGCAGATAAACCTCTCAAGTACACCACAACGAGAATGGCCAACTGAAGTATGATAAAAAAGGTAAATTAAATGTTTTGTTTTTACCTCCAAATTATAACTATATTAATTAAATTAAAATTAGGTATCATTCCCAAACAAATTTTTTAATTGTTGAATTGCTATGAAGGTGAGTGCAGGCCTCTTAATGGCCTCTATACAAATAACGTTGTTTTTTAAAAATAATTTTTAAATGGAGACAAAATATTACCGTTTAGTTCAATTAAATAAGTTACAAAAAAAATATTCAAATACAATTTTAAACGAATACTAAACTTTTACTAACCGTATTTTTATCAGCATTAAATTTCCCTGCAAGATTCGGATGCATGAACGTATTGTAATTAATTATGTCTAAGACTGTAGTGTTCTTTTGTCTATCTAGGTCAATAGGTTGGTTTTTGGATTTCCATTCACTGACATTGTCATCAAGACAATTTTTCAAGCATTTCAATGTTTCTCTAATGGGTAAAAAAGTATCCTTCTTTTTATTTTCTTCTAGTCCATAAAATTTATCCACTTCCAACGATCCAGCTGTTAAAAGTTGAAAAACAAAAGTATATATACATATTATTTTATATTCTACAAAGTGAAACATATCAAGTAGGTAAAATATAAAAAAATCCATAAAAAATAAATCTATTACGTAATTTGTTTTGGCAAAATACTTACGTTTTAAATCCTTCGAAAATTCAAAGCCGCACATTTGGTTGATTTTTAAAAAAAGATCTTCAGCCAGTAATAATTGTTTAATTCGGTATAATATGGTTGGTAACATTAAAGCTTTAAACCAATAAACTGAAGGAAACTCATGCCACATGCAAAATTCTGGAATGAGTCTTTCGATGTATTCAGTCCGTTTATCTACTTTACCAGTAGATATTCTGTTAAAAATAATGGTTTACTAGCGTTATTAAATATATGAGCTTATTTAAATTCCTAATTGGCAAACATGATTAAACATAATACTAAAATAAATTAATATTTTACCTAGGAACCAAATAGTTTATTTTTGGTACACCCAATGATTTCACTTGAATTAATGGTTGATCTTTATTTGTTACTCTGATGGTGTACTTGTCTTCAAAATAATCCTGATATGTATCATAATTATTTGAAGGAAATATGCTTTCAGGTGACATATCTTTATGAACATCTGTAACAAGGTACCTCTAGAAAAAAAAAACAAAAAGTTAACTATATAAAATTAAAGTAGTCGAATAATAAGATACCAAACATTTTTTTTCTTCAAAATTAGTTATAAGCTAACTAATGACAACACTGATAGATTATCAATCTAATTTACCATTTCAGCAAATGATTACCTCAAATTTCTCTATTATTAAACATTGTCCATGTTGTTTGATATCCAATTTCCTCAATACTTAGTAGTAGAGTCATTACCGTTTTAAGGTAAATTGGAAAGAGGTACAAAGATATAAAGAAGTTAGGTATGAAGTATTTTTTAACTGATCTCAATATCATTATCACTTTAAATGCAATTAACTCGATTAATATTTATTGACTATTGAAAACCTGATAACTGATTATAGTCATTAAGTCAGTCTAATTTTAATAGCTAAATTAAGTATACAGATTTATATGTGACGTTTAAAAGTTACGCACTAAACATGTAGTGGTGAGAACCAAAAAAAAAAAAAACAAAAATCATGCAAACGTCTGCCTAATGGTAGGCGTTTTTCATCTATTCCAAATATTTGACTAAATTCATAGTTGGATTTCTTTACGTTATGACACGTTGCTAAAATTGAGCAAATATGTTTACTTTTAATTTACTTAAGATTAACCTTTGGGAGGCCAAGTTTCATTGAAATCATTAACATTATAATTTTTTTTTACATTTATCGTAATTGATCACGGCTTATATGATTTACAGATTTTTTCTTTTACTCTATTGCAATTACTGTAATTAGTATCAGAGTAAGTACTTTATGACAAATAATATAAAAATGGGGTTGCAGCAAATGATTAAAGTAAACTATACAAATCATTACTCTTACTTGAATAGGTACAATATTTCGATACCATGGAGAGATAATATGCGGGGTTTCGAAATATTTTTCATAAAATTTAGCTTTTCGTTCTTCTTCAGTGGGAGCCTCAGTCATCACAAATGTATCAATGTCGACAACATCCCAATTAATAGTATAATTTTCACCTAGAAATTAAATTAATTGATGTAATAAAACGCGGAGACCAAAGTTAATATTGAATATACCTGAAGCAATGATAGGTACTAATAAATATGAATTGATTTCATTTTTGTAGTTTCTCATTAGAAATTTTTTTACACCTAATACATCTACAAATAATTTGTTATGGAATTGTTCTAGCTTTTTTATTTGTTGCTGGTCAAGTACAACTGTGGCAGAATTGACAAGTATGCATATGTTCACAACCCCAAAGTTCAAGAATATTGGAAAATTAGAAAGCTAAAAATTATAAAATTTGTTTATTTCAAATTTTACATACAGTAATTAAAATATTTTTTTACATATGTATCTAAACCCATCTTCAGGGGAGTTTTGTCACAGTCTGGCAGCTGTAACTAGTATATTTTATTAACTATCTACTGTATAGCTACTGTAATGGCTGTCTAGCAACTAGACAGTAAACATACAGCCCTAACTATTCTCTGAAGATGGGTTCTAAAATGTTACCGCAAAACCAAACACGTGCATTGTAAATAATTTTAAAAACAATTAATTAATAATATATAATAGTAATACATTCATATTACTTATTTTATAAATAATTATTTTTTCACATGATTAAAATAAATTTGTTTTATACTTACAGATGGCAGTTTCTTTGAAGTTATTATTCCAAAATGTTCATTTGATCTTAACAACCCATCAAAAGTTTTATATTTCGTATCGTTTAGACAACCATATAGTGGATTACATTGAATAACATGCAAGTATGATGTTTTATTTGGTTGTGGATACACATTATTCAAATAGGATGGGCTCTAAATACAAAAAAATTTTAACATTTTATTAAAAACTTATAACGTCTACACACAAATTTACACAATAAAATATTCAAATAAATAAATAGGCATTGGAGTTTCAAAATCAGGATTTACAAAATAAAAAATAGGTTATATTATTTTGAAGTCTTAAAAAATTGCAATAAACAAATGTCTAAATATTGTAGGAAAACTGAATTGTTTAAAAATGTATACTAATAAAAGAAAACATTTACGAAATTCAAATACTTTAACTTTCATTAAGTTATGACTTATTAAAAACTTTCTAAGTAAATATTTTTAATTTAGAGACAAATCTATAAATCGTATCTAGAACAAAAAATAAAACTTTCATAAGGCAAGAATAATGTTTTTTTATGAGCAATTTGTACTATTGAGATACAATCTAACATGGAATAGGTTATATATAGTATGTATTTTGTTGAAAGATTTGTATTTCATTTTATGATCATTTAAATAAGCAAATTAAAGGGAACTGCTATTTTGTACTCAACAGAAATCAAACTAAACATAAAATCAATTATCAATTAAACCACATCAGAGACAAATTACAAGTGTGAACAAATTGATGAATGGTATTGTATTTTACACTTACATAAATTTTAACAATTCTTTTCATTTTATTAGTTCCTGGTTTATAGTCGGTAACTTCCACATCATTCTCTACCCAATGTGGAAACCAATTCAGATCTTTAAATATAGGTTTGTTTTTAATGGTTGCTGGAAGTAGATTATCATCCAGCGCATCAGCATGATATAGTTCAATACAGGCGTTGAATGCGGCACTTTTTTTTGCATTTTTTTTTGAACGAAACACTTTACCCTGTAAAATAAATGTATAATTAATACCATCAGAATAAAAGAAAAAAAAAAACAAAGTGAAAATAATACATCTATGGCAGTTTTAATAGCACTGTTAATGGGAAGTTTCAGTTTATATTTTCGGAATTCACTCTCAGCCAGCCACCATTCTGGACCTAAAGGAGAAAAACGATCTTGAGGCAAAGACGTACAGTACCTGTGAATAAAAAATAAAACTGTTGTGAACTGCTTTATACATTCATTACAGTTTGAGTTGACGGTATCGTCAATAGAAACGCTATAGATATTAGGAAAATTAATTTTAAAGACGAGTTGTACGTCTAAATTGATTTTTATCAACCAAAAAATCCAATTGTCAAAAATACATCTAGATAATTTATGTTCAAATATTGACTTTTTTTTAAACCCATTAATCTTAGTTATTACATGTTGAATATAAAATGAATAAATAATATGTAATTACTTATTTCAGTTTTATCAATGAAAAGAACTGAATAATAAATTGATAAATTAAATGTAATAAGTAGACATACCTATTAATAATACCAATAGCAATATCACTTGTTAGCGTTCCACACTTAGTTTCAAAAACTTCTCCAAAATCTTCATCATCAATACTATCATCAATATTATCATGTTTTAAGACCTAATTAAATTACTTGACTTTATTTCATAACATACATAATAAAGCAATTAAATAATAAACAAAAACATACTATCTCAATTTCTCTTTCCATTTTTTTATAAACACTTTGTGTATGTTCACATTCCGCCTGATTTTGTGCTAATACAATAAATTTACTTTTTTTGGACCGCGCTCGACCTTTTGATTGTACATAAGAAGGAAAGTTCTTGGGCATGTCATACCTGATGACATAATTGCATTCTGGTACGTCAATACCTTCTTCCAATACTTCAGAAGTTATCAAAACATTTATAGTATTTTTGTGAAAACTAAAAAAGTTTAATTTTATTATAAAATAAATACAGATTTATGTTCAACTATTATATTTTTAGGTTGGATACATTACTTTTTAACAATATCTTGATTTTGTTGTTTTTTATACAATGATTCATTGGATTCCATTGTAAACAAACCTCTAGCTCCAACAATAAAATCACATTCTATATTTTTAAAACTATTGTAACGCTTACATTCCTAATAAACAAAAATAATAATAAATAACAAATTATGATAGTAATATTAATAAACAAATTAAATAGCTAATGTAACCACATTAGCTGTCCGTCCTTAGGTTTATTATATTTATATTAATATTTTTTTTAGGATCAATTTGAAATAAAATAATTTAAAACAAATTAAAGTAGTTGGCATGATTGCACAAAAAATAGTGTTTTTTATTTTTATTTAACAGGTTCACCTCCACACGTAAAACTCTGGACAGGCACCAGAGGCCGAGTGATTTCTAAAATTTTGCTCGCACTGTCATGCAATCTTGTGATGAAGACTTAAACCAACCACATAGAATTCGGTATTGACACATACTAAATGGCCATTGTAAAAAAATGGCCATTCCCCAATGGCTAAATCATTTATAAATGTATCTCTAGAAAATGTACCAAGTGATGATCACGGATTGGCGGGCCCACTAGTAGTCGGATACTGCCGCCGAATGGAGATTGGTAGCGGAGGTAAAAGTGTTAGCAAATTATAAACATAAAATATGAAAATAATTAATTACCTTAATAAAATGGTATAAAAGTTTTGCAGTAGTTCGTCGATCTACAAAAACTAAACAAGAGTCCGTTCGCTCTACACTGTCCAAAAGTGCCATGAATTGAACCAATTTTGGAGATGCATTTTGTTTTAACGTTGATAAGTTTTCTATATTTTTGGAATTTTTTAACATGTGGTTCAAAAATAATTTTCTTGTAATAATTAATTGGGATAAAACACAAGATAACATTGTATATTTATCCATATCTTCAGATAACTTTTTCTTTTTCTCTAGTTCAATTATATAATGCCAGGTAGCCAGATAACCAATATATACACCACTGTCTAAAAAGTTAACCTATAACCAATTTAAAGCATTTTTTTTATTTTAGTATAAAAAAAAAAAAAATTATATACATATATATATATATACATATATATATAATATATACATATATATACATACTAAATAATATTAATTACATTAATATCAAGAAAATAATTTGCCAGATCTTTTGTTGCTTGTTTAGGATTTTCCATGTAAAATATGTCTTTTTTGTCAATAATTGGTTGATTTTTTGGTGTAGATATAATACATTTCAAGTTTTCACTAAAGGTAACTAAATGCGTTGTGATTGCCGACAACTCATTACATGGCTCAAATTTATCATACACAATTATAGATGCATCTGGACTTGCTGAAAACCTTAAAAAAATAATAATGTTCAATGAAACAATTTTTTTTTTTTTTAATTTAAAGCAAATTACATTTTAATATTATCAGAGAATCTAGTTTTTATCGCTGCATCAAAAGTCTGTTGCAAAAGAGCTAACTCAGTCTTTATATTTTTACAATTACTATTTATTAAAGTAGCAGTTAATCCAAGTATCCGAGGGCGCCATTCTTGATTATTAGAGTCATGGTAAACTTGCATTATCTAAATGTTAAAAAAATATATAGTTACATAATAATGTTGACTAATGTTTTTCTTTAAAATTAAAAAAAAAAAATCAAAATTATAAAATATTTGTAAGTTTCTTAGAAAATATTTCTCAATAGCATAAAAAGTCATCAAATTAGATCTAACTACAAAAAAAATCAAATAGTATTTACTATTACTAAAGTTTAAGATAAATAAAAATAATAATAGTTATAATTTTTAAAACTATATGACGTATTGTCAACGTACGCGTAGAAGTAATATAACGAGTCAAACTTAGTACTAAAGGTATCAGGTTTGATTCCTACAGCACTGATAAACAGTTGTTGTTTGCTCTCATCTCATACAAGCTTACTGGGGGGGTGAAATTAAAATAATGGGAAAAAATATATACAGATATCCATAGAGATAAATTTGAGTACTTAGCTGTGCATATACCAAATAACAATGTATAAATTATAATTAATATGAAGATTTGTAAATAAATAACTTACCTGTCGATAAGGGTGATTTGCTTTAGCATGATGACATTCATCGAAAATAAGAAGATTTGCATCTTTCATTTTCATATAACCATGGTGAAGGTTATTTAAATATATCTGAGACGTCATTACTATAATCTAAAACATTTATAAATATGCTTGTAAGTGGTTTTGTACAGGCAATTTTCTTAAAAATTTTAATTTCAAAAATACTGTTATTCATACAGTAATGGAGAGCTTTAAAGAATTTAATACTTACATGGCATTCTTCAATAATTTTGTCCCATTGGTCTTGTGACCAAAAGTCAACTTTCATATCGCCACTGAATGTACCAATACTCCATGGTAAATGTTTTTTTAAGCTAGAGGCTTGCTGAATAACCAATGGCACGGTATTGACTAGAAAAAAAGTCCGTTTTCTTTCTTCTTTTTTTGGTCTAAAAAGTTTTGTTATATTACATAATCTTAAGTAGTACTCAAAAAATCAATATAAAAACTAGTTTACATACAAGGTAAGATAAGAGCCCATTGCTTTTATAAGCATTGTAGCTATGTAAGTTTTACCACTTCCAGTGGGCAAATACAAAATTGTATTGTTTTTCTTAACTTCTTCCAATAGTTCAAGTTGATAATCTCGTGGTATAATTTCATTTTCAAGTTTCTAAAAAAAATTATAATAAATTAAAAATAATTATGTCAGTTGCAAATTTTACAGGAGGTTCATATAACCTGTTAAAATAAGCATTATATTATTTTATTATATTATATTAAACTAGTATTACATTATACTTATATAATATAATAATAGCAATGTATACTTTACCCTGTGGGTGGGGATCAGAATACACCCTCGGTAGTCCAAGCCTGTAGTAAGAACCGACTAAAATGGATCTAGAAGTGGGCAGCAGCGCTACTAGTATCAAGCGTAAATAATTTATTTACGCTTGAGTAGTATCCCTTAGAAATAAGGTATGCTACAGCGATCAGGGAAAGCAACGGGAAACTACCCTGATTAACCCCTTCCCAAGAAAACCCATCATGATATTGTCTGCAGTCAGAGATTGTTGCCAACGTCAACTGATGGGTCACCAAACTTCCGCTTTTGGAAGATGGACTTAAGAAGAAGAATGTATACTTTATCAATCTTTCTTTTTTTAACAATTACAATTTTTTATAAAAATTATACACAACAATTTTTGTCCTCTTGAATACACATTTGACTAACATATTCATACCAATATCATTATTTTATTTAGAAAAAAAAGGATGTACTCTCAATATATTATGCCTATAATTAATTTTAAAATTTTTCTTTTACCTCCTCCACAGATTCTTCCATCGTGAGATCAATCAGCGTTTGTTAAAAAAAGAAAAATTGTGATCAGTAGATAGTGGTATAATCTGAAAGAGAAATGTACAGTTAAGCATTATTATTATACATGTGCATACAAGGCTTTATTAAACCGACTGTAAAACATTATTTCAATATCAACTTAATCATTAATGAGAAATTATATATAAATAATATTATTAGTTATTAAACATAGATCTACAACACAAGTACTTTAAACAAGAAAAAGCTGGTACAGTTTTACTGAAAGTGATAAAATCAAAGTGCTTCGCAATGAGAAACTATGAATGGTTAAAACAAAAAACACTATTCAACATATAAACAGAGGACAAGCCAAAAGTTAAATATCGAGAATGTTTGAAAACATGACTTTTAGCCTACTTAGTATTTATAAATTTTATTGTTTTTATAATTATGTTATTTGATTTTACAATGATGTATTTTTATTTTCCCAACTGTTAAGCTCAGTGTTGGGAAAGTTCCTTTATAAACGAAACTCGTTCTGTTCCCCGTTCATTTCCTAAGATAGGAACTCGTTCCAGATCCTCATTCCTTATTCAAAGAAGGAACTCTTTCCAGATCCAATTCCTCTACAAAAAGAACTCGTTCCACTTTTCGTTCCTTTTTTCTAACCAAGTTATTTAAGAAATTATTATTATTATTATGAATTTGATTATAAGGTTAAAATTATCTTGTGATTTCAAGATATCATGTTTTTCGTCAAATTATTTATTTAATATCATTGAAGGCATTATATTAATATCATTAATATCAGATGAATATATTAAATAATTAATAATTTGAAATTTAAAATCTAATTCAAAATTATAGGTATATCAATAAGTCGAAAATATGGGAAATGGAAAAATAAAATAAATAACTATTTCCAAAAAATAATTAAACATAATTTTTTTTATTAGAATTTAAATATACTAGCATCTATTCAAAAGGCATCAATCCATTATCTATATAATATGTTTTATAATTACATACTATAATATACTAATAAATATTAGTTATAAATATCAATTGCTAGTAGTGGTAATGAGATCATGATAACAGTCAACAATAATCTTCATCAACAGTCGAAAACAAAACAAATTTGTGGTATTCCTTATCTAAAAGTATTGGAAAATAATATTTATAGAGCAGCAGACAACTGCTGACAACTTGTGTCAAGTGTCAACGCGACCGATGTCTATTGTCTACATAGAAATTAAAAATAATAATTCGGAAAACCCAAAACCTTTAAGATACAACAGTTAACAAGAAACGACGATAATATCCAATTGGCACCATACAATTTATTATTTAAAAAATGTATATACATATATATTTATGTCTTAATAACAGTATTTATAGTCAATAGATTCATTTAAATAGCCCAAGATATAGGCTGGGGTATGTAGAGGTTGTTCCGTTGTCAATAGTCAACGTAAACCAACTAAAAATAAATCTTATTTAAAACGCTTAGAAACAAAAAAAACTACACTAAAATATGTTATTAAAAATTTTAAGGAACTGTAATTTTCGTTCACGTTCCTCAAAAAAAAGAATTCGTTCATTTTCCTCGTTCCTTTATTTTTAAAGGAAGCAGTTCCAAGCTTCGTTCCTACAAAAAGAACTCGTTCCAGGAATCCGTTCCTTTTGGAACGAATTCCTTCTCAACACTGGCTTAACTTAATCCTTTAAGTAGAAAGTCTATAGATCAGACAAATGTATTAGATAGGAACTTTATTGGGCAAAAATTGACAATATTCACCACTCTGCTTAAAAATCACGAAAAATACCCAAAAAATGAACATATTATTACTATTAAGAAAATCAACAACATAATAAAAAATATTATTTGTTGTATACTCGCCGACTATGTTAATTAATTCGTACATAGAAACAATCAAGTTTGACTACATATTTTTGAGAAAATGTTGTTTAACATAACTCCCATTCTACATCTACCTTTTTATATAGTGTCCTAAACTTACGCTCAAAAAAATGAAATAAAGAAAAACTTTCCACACATTCTAGGAGAAAATGTTGAGACTTGAGAGCGATTTCGTAACTCTCAGTTACAATAGTTAGTTTAGTAGAAAATAATCAATTAAACATTCCGATTGGTTGATTAGGAAGTGTTAAAAAAACAACAAGCTTGCATAAAGTCTACTAAATTAAATTAAATGTTTTAATAACAACATTTATAAAAAGTTGATACATGATATAGAATACTCACCGACTAGTAACTAATAATAACACGTCGGAAACAAAAAAGAAAAATTTTAAACATAAGTAATAGGTGTTACAATTTACAAATTGTTTTAATTAATAATATATTTAAAGATATTGTAATATGTATTATATTATACCCAAATCCTAAACGGCCACCGGGTAGAATGCCATTTGTTATCTCTTATTTGGCGTTCGGTCATAGGCTTCCAGATGATAACAATTTACCAGTTACCACTATGCAATATGCCGACCCCACGCAATATGCATTATGCAAGTTGGATTTATATCCACCTTGGTTGCCGCCCTTGTTTAAGTTAATGCCGATTGCCGGATCACAACCAAAGGTAGTTCCACCAACTTTTTATTCCATGAGTCATTTGTTCCAAAGAACTTTTATCCAAGATTATGGCTTGTTCCAATGGACATTTGTCTAAGGGCCTCGATGACGTCACTTGGACATGAACATTCGAGTTCTTATACCTACCTATAATTATACATATATTCCAATTCTAAAAACGTCTATAGTACAACTCAAGGTGGATTTATCAAGGTGGATAAATCCACCTTGGTACAACTTATAAGAATTAAGGTCCATGGTTAAAAGACAACCGCTCATAAATGTGATCCAAAAATTCATTAGTATAGGACAAATCTGCACTCTGCAGTTTATCGATCGAAAAGGGTGCTCCGACCAATACATTATTTTTGCGACTTTTTCCTTTCGTTTTTAATTTACATTTAATTAAAGTATGTTATAATAATAAAAAAAAAAATTTCCTTATTAAATATTTAAGATATTTTTTAATAACGCATAAACAAAATATTAAGTATAATAGGAATGTCACACGTTTGACGTTTGTACATTTTAATCAATGCTTCTGATGTGCATCGTTAAACGGTGATAAGCAAAACTTTTTTGTGTAAGAACAAAAAATAATAACAATTAACAGCTACCTATAGCTGATAACAACAAATAAATTATCGCCGGGGAAATAATTTCAAAATATTAACACCGTCATAATAGCATAATATAAGTAATTAAAGCATATAAAATAAAATTAGATTTGTTTTCATTTTTTCAATAAACGTTAAGAAATAATAAAATTATAATTAACCATATAATTGGCATATTTTTTTTAGTAGTATGCATCGTTCTTAATAATAATATTGTGAATTATCCATATTTTGATTCTCGAATATCAACAACTAAATAGCTATCAAGAAACCGGTTTGAAATTTGTCCTTGAATAGTTTCGATTATGTTTACATAAACAACGACGCAAGCAACAAAATAAACCGATGTTTTGGAATTCAAATACTTTCACATTATTAGTTGCCTCAGTATAATATTTTAAGGACTACATTACTGTTCAAGACTTCGACAAAACCAGTGTTAATTGTTCTTCCAATATTCGACAAAAACCACTAGAAAAATGGTGAGTAAATCACAAAAACTAGGATCAATAAAATAAACATATTTTGTTAAAAAAAGTAATTATTAATTTTTTGATAGACGTTAGGATATGTTCTTGTATAATATTTCATTAAAATATTTAGTTTTTTTGACACATAGAGGGTCGTTATGCCACTAGAAAAGTAAAGGAATTTGCAAAATTGCATACATTAATAAAACTAGACTATTTTATTTTATTAACTAACTTTATATTTTAATTCAAAGAGCTATGCCAGTGGATATGAACCAAACGTGAGTGGCTAATAATATATTTTTCTAAAATAATTTTTAATATTTTATAAATAATATAAAAGATACCTGATTATTTATATTATTAAAAAAAATTGAATACATTTTAAAATTGATTTAGTTATAATACATTTGTATTATAACATTACATAAATCAATAAGTTACAATGTAAATTTTACAGGAGAAAATATAAAACTATTTATTAATAATTATTTATTTATTTAATTCATTATAGTAATTAATTAATTTAAATGGATGATCTACCTCAATGGATGATATTAGATTGACTCATCTAAGAGTCCAAACAATGTATAAGGTATATCAGTGAATAGAGCGCAAAATTTAAATCAAGAGGAACTAAAAAACTGGTAAATGGAAATTTTTTACCCAATACACTTTTGCTCTGAGGTACGGATATTAAAGTATAGAGTCAACGTCAATGCAGCCGTTTCTTCAATAATTCTTGAGAATTGTTTTGTATTCATGAAACAACTTTGGTTTAAATTTTCACAAATCAATTTTCGATATTAATCTTCACACTGCCATACCATTTACAAGAGACGGATGTCATATTGTATACTTTGTTATGACAAAAATGCATTAGTATTACTATGAATTGAGCTGCACTAGATCACAAAATGATATTAATGTGACAAGGAAGTTACAAAAAAAAGTATCAAAAATAACACCCAAGTACATTAAAAAAACTGGTGTTCAACGATTTTTAAAACCTGTAATTTTCAACATCTGGAAAACCCCAAAACCGCCAACAAAATATTTCAGTTCAAAGTCCTAATTTTAGTTCAGCTACTGTGCAGTGGCATATTTGAAAAGAGGTGCATTCTATTGAACCTGTAAATTTGAGTTTATGAATACTTTTTTATTTGTGTGGTGCTACAGATGTTAAATTTTAATCAAAATTTTTTTTTAATTACTTATTAACATAATGTGTAATGTTTCAGCCTAGTCTGTTAACAAAAGAACAACGGGATGAGCTGTTGGCTCCATTATTTTCCAATAAGTGGACTATGGTGAAGGATAGAGACGCTATTTATAAAGAATTCTTGTTTGCTGACTTTATCCAAGTAAACATTTTTGCCTTCTATAAATTTTACTGAAACATAAAAATATACAGAAAAAAAAATGTTTCTTTTGAGTTTTAATTAAAACTGTATATATTTTTTTCAGGCATTTGGGTTTATGGCCCAAGTTGCAGTTAAAAGTGAAAAGATGGATCATCACCCAGAATGGTTCAATGTTTACAATAAAGTACAAGTCACATTGGCTACTCACGACGTGAGCGGATTATCTACAAACGATGTGAATCTTGCCACGTTTATGGACAAAATCGAGAAAAATATTTAGAGACTTGTAGTATATTTTAAAATATACCTACTTGTATAATATAATCAAGTGATCGCATGCAAACTACAAGCATTTCCATCTAAAATCATTCCTGTTTACAGTATTTATTTCAATAATCACCTATTGTTTTGAAATTCAAATGGTAATTTACATAATTTATTTAGCTGTTAAAAATAAATGTTTGTACTTAAAAAAATAAATAATCAATAATATGTTTAAAACGCTATACTTCTTGAGTTATTACTAACTATTAGCATTCCGTGGAATGCATTATGTTTGGACTGAAAAGCGTGACAACATTTTGACTACTTAGAATAGTTTGATAACACAAAAATTTAGGCTAATACTGTATACACTGAGAGTGAAACAATTATTCTAAAAAAAAAGCGCTTTGATGAATAATGAGAATGAGTAGAAGGCTATTAATTGCAAAAACAAAAACATGGCAACAACCATGGCTTTTTATTAAGTTTTTAAACTGTTTTAAGCATACGGTTGCAGTTTTATTACATTTAAATAACTAACAAATAATGACTTAGACCTATTAGCTACTAGAATTTAATTAGGTATATTTAAAAATATATTCTTTACGATTTGGAACTTATATGATTTTATATGATATATTTTTTATATATTTATATGGTAAAAGCATTTTACCGGTCTCCTTTTTTTCTTTTTGCACGTTTAAGTGTTTTTTTTTACACTGTTTACGAATCTGAAGTCAGAATTAGGCGAACTTCTCTAGTTCACAAGTTAGAGCTACTTCCACTTTAAGAATATCGTTGGGCAAGACTCTGGATGCTTCACGCGGTGTCACGTGTCTGGCAAACAAAAAAAGACCACGAAGGGGGGGGGCATAGTCCCATCGCCTACTGTTGTATTGGGAAAACTTCAAAGTTCAAGTAGCTGTAACTTTTGAACTAAAGAAGTCCGCCTATTTCCCAGTTCAAATTCGTTTTAGCATAAAAAACCAATTGTATGGCAAACAAAAAAAAGGTATCCGGTAAAGTGTATTTATACAAATATTTTAAAATGGAATTTAAATGTTAATGGTATGTGTAGTAAAAATCTTTCTAACCTATACTTCATAAAAAAAAAAAATTGAATATTTTAATTAAAATATTAGTTATAGATTATATAAATCAATCCCTTGCGAAGTTTTTAATTTTTGAAGTAAATTATTAAAAAATAAATACATCTAAGATTTGATAAAGCCATATTACGGGAAATTTCATTCTCAAGTTAATGGTTCGGTCAGAATTCAGTTGAATTTGTGTATCATAAGTTATAATTAAAGTTCTCCTATGTAACAAGGTTATTAGTATTACCTTGGGGTAAATAAAACTTAATATTAAGTTGACAATAATCATGATAACATGGCAGCCACAATATTCTTCTAAAGAAATCTATTACTGTCTGACAAGTAAAAAACAAAAACCTCTTAGACTTTGAGTAATACTCAAAATTACTGTGTGTAAAAACATGTAATATGTATTAATATTATTACTCTTGAGTAAAAATCAGGCCCCAGGCAAGATACTTATCACACAAAAACGCGGCGTCCATCTTCTTAAGGCTACCCCACTATAATGTTATATCAGCTGTACAATATTATTTTTAGTCGTGTTTAGATACAACACATAATATAACTAAATAGATCTTGACAAAATGGTTTTTGTAAACTGTTTTGTTTACATTGTCAGTGACCCTTTTGATTTTATCTATTCCGTGTAAAAACCATAGCAGCCATATTGGTATTATCACAAGTTTTGCGTTATGTTATCAATAATTCCACAAGTGTTCACTACGTCACAGTATAACAGTAAATATAGCGCCAACTACAAAGTTTATTTTAACTGAACTGTAAATTGACAATTTTTTTTTTCATGGTACGTAGTTGGTGTTGTGTTAACTAAATGATTATCTTAGTCAAATAATTCTTACTTTTAATAGTATGGCTGGAAAAAAAGTAAACTCTGAACCATATGAAATGTATTACAGCGATAATGGAAGCGATACATCTCATTCGTCTTGTGAATGTAGCGATGTCAATTCTAACGTGTAAGACATTTTTTGAAAAATTGAAATTGAATGCTTATTTTTTTTTTTAATGTAATTTGTATAAATTGTTTTTTTTTTTTTTAGTTCTCATTTTGAATGGGAAAATGAAATAAACGACAATGGTGAACTCTTTTATATTAAAAGTTCTCCCCGAAAACTGAATGATTTTGGCAAGCATAGCGTTGAATTAGCTAATACTGAAAAAAAAACTAAAACCACTGCTAGTAAATTAGTTAGGCTGCTAAAACGAAGAAAAAGAGAAAGAGGTAGAAATGATAGTTTTAAACATACTGGGAACACAAACAAAGTTACCTTTTTGGATACACAGGTACCTATAATTAATTTTAGTTTTTAAACTGTGTTAAAAAAAATGTCTCTTCTTTTTATTTAAATAAATTAAAAAAGAAATTATTTTTAGGAAGGTGAAATTAGAGAAGTTACAATTGACGTTGGAGATGATGCTTGTAGTAATCTTGGGAGGAGAGCAACATTATCTGAAAGATTGTTAGGTTTATGTACCACAGTTTTTAAGGATGGTACCCGTGTAATGGTTGCATCTACCATTCCCAATAGTTTTGTTGACAATCAGAGAATAATAAAAATAGGTAACTATTTAATTGTAACGTAATGTACTATTTTTTTAATGTGTATTCTTTATAGGAGACTGGCTTAAAATAATAAATGGAAAAAATGTAACGGCAAGTACACTAGATGAAATCTTGTCAAGTATAAGCCTTCCAACTACAGTAACTTATTATTATTATTTTATTATTTTTTAATAAAATATTTTATTATTAACAATTTGTCTCTAATAGGTCAGATTAGTAGTTCAGAGAGTGTCGGCTAGTTTGGTGGATATGAATAAGAATGTTAGCCTGCAATTATCAAATTATTTACTATCAAAAAAGGATAATGAGGAATTCACATCTGAACTGGTGAAGTGTCCAATTACAGCATTGTACCTGTTAACCGATAAATCTGATGCTATCTATATTTTTCCTAATTCATCGTCGGTTTTCAATAAAATTAGAGGAGCTTTTCAGACTATACTACATATTGTTCCACAGATAGTAAAACATCAAGTTCAAAGGTAGATTTAACTAGACCAAATGTTGCGAATCACTTTTTTTTTTGTATTTTTAATTATAGCACATCAATGTTGTATAATGATCAGCTTGTCCATGTGTTATTTTGGACTGAAGGAAAAGGTACATTATTATTTATTGTACCAAATGCAAAGTAAGAATGGATTGTAAATAATTTATGATTTAGAGTTAAAAATTAATAAGTAAAAGAACAAAATATGAGATTTTAAAAACGTCTATGAAATATTCAAATATTATTTAATACGTTTTTATATAAAATATACATAATAATTAAAACCAATAAGAACTACTATCATATTTAGGGTTGAAGAAGTCGAATACACCTCAGTTTTGATATTAAGTCTATCACAATGTTACTGTTATTTTTTTAACTCAAATTAATTGTGTGGGATCTAAATAAATAATATTAATTTTACAGATTATGTTTAATATATGCCAAATGGACAATAGCTAATATTGTAAGAAATTTATGTTTTTGCTACAAAAATTTGAATAGGTAAATGTTTTCAAAGCTCTGTTACTTGTTCACTGTTATAAATTATTTTTAAATTTAAATTTTTCAGTTGTTTTACAAATACTGCAAATTTTCCATCATTAGATAAATACTTTTCAATTGTATTCTCAGAGCTGCTAAGCATCAACATGTATCAAAATATTGTTGATTTGAAAAAAATGAAAAAATACATTCCCGCTTCTATGACCATTCCTCTAGTAAGAAGTATGCAAGTAAGTTCAAATTTTATTTTATAAACAAGAGTTACATTTTTAAATGATTGATTTAATTTTTGTTTCATAATAAGATGGAGTTGGATGATATATTGAATGAATTTGAAGCAAATTACATGGTTAGTATAAATTTAAGTATTTTTCTTATAATTCTGACGAACTACAGTTAAATAAAAATCAAAAACGAATTAAAACGAACGAGGTTAAAACAGCCAATATGTTAAATGAATAAAATGCACCTCTAGATATGCTTTAATTTTTTAGTATGAAGACACTAGAGAACCTAGACCGTATATTATAATTGGGACGTCAGTGTATTATAAGGTAAAGATTATTTTGTACAATATTTGATTCAAATCATAAATAATAATAATTAATTACTAGGTATTGTTTTAGGAATACTTATTGTCTACACATCTAAACTATGAAGATCATTTAGATATTCATATGTTCTGTCAACAAAAAGGTCTTTTTCATTTGTTGAATACGGAATACCTAGAACGCCTAATAATATTTCAACAAGTGCATCCATCTTCAAGTAGATCAAATTATTCTGTATCTGGGTCCGTTTATACATTGCCTAAAGCTAAATGGTATTTATTGTTAGTTGGAAGAGGATACAACCTGTTGGCAACATTACTAGAAATCGGACACTATCTTGTGTGAGTATATTCTTGATGAATATTTATTTGTATAAATTGATTATATATGATGAAAAAATATATATGCTTAGTAGACATTTTTATTAACAAGCCATTCTGTCGTAGAACTGAAACAAGTGATGGTCCTTGTGCGGATTATGTTGAAGAAGCTGAAAATACACTTGAAAACATAATCAATATGAATATTGATGAATTTGCCGAAAAATGGTATTTTAGCTATAAATTATTAATTCATAATCTCTACTATCTTTTAAGCTTTTAAAAACTGTTCAAATACAACAGCTAGTTATTAATTGTATACTTATAGAAACTACTTATGTAGTCTTCATAGAAAACATAAAAACATCATCTTCTAATTAATTTCAATAAAAAATGGCTAATTATAATTAAAAAATTGCACATCTGGGACAGATTTTAACTTTGTTGTAAAAATGATACGCAAATTTTGAACTGACACCCGGTCATAAAATTGATAAAAAGGTTTTGTAGCACTGCGAGAAATTTTACCCTGTACTGGAAATTAAACTGATCACTGTTGGTCGCTATGTGACCACTGTACTATACCGGTCGTTCATTTATTAATGATTTTAGTTATTTAATAAATTACATGATTATTATAGCATGCATATCATTTTTTTTTAAGGATCGAAGGCAATGTAAATGATGCAAATCAAGAATTTGTTAAAAACTCAACATCGAATATCAGTGGAAATAATAAAACGGCCAATGGTTGTATGTTTGATTGTTATCTTAAAATTGTTTTTAATTGTATTTTTTAAAATTTGTGTTTAAGGGTCTCCAATAAAAAAAACAGAAATTACTTCAATATTAAAACATAAAAACGATACATCAACTTCACAGTTGTTATACACTGGTACTAAATTAAGTGAATAAGTGAAAAACATTTTATTCATATTTTTTATTATTTTTCTTACTTAGATTCAAGACAACTGGACTCATTGTCAGAAACAAGTTTAACAAGTAGTGGTGCACAAAGCACTGAAGATAGTTTATATACTACACAAGGCCCAGTGCTGGGGCGTCGAGCTGAACGCATGATGAAAGCATCTTCATTGGAATGGTCTGACTATTCGGATGATGATTGCACTGTTTCGGTATTATACATAGATTTTTTTTCCTTAAAAGTTTTAGTTAGAAAACTGTACGGTCTCTATGAATATAATTCACAATGAACAGTGTTCACAAGTACTCCAAGTAAAGTGGCTTCTGTTTTAGTCTAACTTAACTAAGTCATAATATGACTTCTAGCATTTGAGACGCCTTATGTCTTTTGAGTTGTCCCATATAGTTGGATGGTTGCTGAGTTAGTGTACTGTTATAGTCTAGTTCCTTCATTTGTATGTTTGTTATGTTAACGACTTTATGACCTTTTTCATAGAAAGTTTTTTTTAATTTCTTCTAGATCTAAATTATGATACTCAAAATGATTTTTCATTGTTTGGTTGGTGCCGTTGACGTTTGAAAATGAAAATAACAATTAGTTGCAATAGTTTAACTATTATAAAAGACATTAAATTTCAATGCCTTTTTGTCAGTTGACTTCAGTATACCACTTGTCATCAGTCAAGAGTATTCAGTTGTCGCTGGCCGACTCTTAAGGCTTAAGTTAAAGAATTTGTTCGCACCTCATACTTTATCCTAACTCTTTCTACAAGTATTCGTGTCTTGCGATTTTGATCTTATCTCCATTCTAACTCTACTTTAACTCACTGTGATGATGGCTATTTGACATCCCCGAACAGCTAGCTGTAACACCGTCGGCAACAAGTGCCATAACACTATCCATCCAGAGTGTGTCCAGTAGCTCATATTCTCTTTTGTTTTAGGACAGTTCTAGTATGTTTGTGATTGGCTTTGCAGGTTCATTGCAGTTGTACTATAAGAATAATAAAAAAAAAATTATGTGTTTATAATATATTTATATTTTTACTAGATTTGTATTTTATTAAAACTATTTGCAGGAAAGCTCTCGATCAATTGATATGCCAGATGGTATAAAGAATTCACCAACGTTATCTAATAAGTAAGAATAGTTATAGATTAAATACAAATGTATCGATTTTTAATACAATTTTACTTGGATTTTATTTCTTTTAAAATACAAGAGGAATCATCAAAATAATATGAGAGCATTATCCATCTATATACTATATTGAATCTCATTGGCATAGCTACTATTAGAGCAGGCAGATAGCTGCCACTGGAGGCTTATTATTTTAATGCTATTTTGTACAGTAATGCGCTTTACACTGTAGTTACACCACTGTTTAATTAATAGTAAATACCTAGAAATGACTAAGAACCACTGTTTGATATGTATTATGTTTTCTATTAATTCATAATCATTAAAATGATTACAAAAAAATAATACAAAAACAATGACAAACTTATTAACTAAGAAAATAAAAACATTTAGGTACAAATCTTTTTGGTTTCATTTGTGTTTTCCTTATATATTTTTCACCAGTCTCGTACTCATCCTGTATTTTTTTATTTTCTGCTTGCAAATCATAATTTTTAATTCTCCTTTTTATCTCTATACTATTACTTCTCACCGCTGACCCTCTTTCATGTTCTATTAAATAACAGATTGGTCAGTATAGTTGAATAGCATTTAATTAGCTTAACAAATTAAATTTTGAAACTCCATTCCTTTGCAAACGTTTGTAATAAGTAACTACTAAATGACATATTAAATAATACATATAAATATAAATAAAATAATCACTAATTTATACAAATGTTTGTTTTAAAGGATGAGTGTTAACAAATTAAATATGTTGTATTGTTATATGGATTTAAATTGTCATACTGGTATAATGTTATGTTCTCCGTCGATGTACAATTATGATTTGGGAGCCAAACACATCGTTGAGAGAATCGAAGAAAAGTTTAATTCAACTGTTACTGTAATTCGCGAAACATTTAATAGATGTAATCAGGTATAAAAAATAATGTGTACTGTGTGATTTTTAGCAGATTTTAACTACTATAATATTTATGTTTTATGCAGGACGAAACAGAAATCAATGAGGTCAGTGTATTGTTCAATGTATCGTCCAACACTGATAATTCTTCTAAAAAATCATCAGCATTTACATTTTGGGTGACTGGGTAAGTATTCTTGAGTGTGCATTTTTAAAAAAAATTGTTTCCCAAGTTAGAAGGTAAATATAAATTTACAATCGGATTTGTTGAGTCCATGTGTGTGCTTATATACGTGAAAAATCACGAGCCAAAGTCATTAATAATAATAACAAGTTGTCTTATGCAAGTGCTTGTGTGAATTTTATCTCTAATAGTCATGTATAGTGTAGTATATTAACGTGGATAATATTTATTTAAACTATTTAGGAAACTATTCAATGAACCCACGAAGCGTGAAATTTACGTTTGTTATGAAGACGGTACACCTCAAAACATGGTTGAAATTGCATTTAAATTGGGTATAAGTGCAGCTGGATAAAAAACTAGTTTTTTTAAGGCATGATTACCTATTATATATGATATAATGTCCTAAATTGTAGTATTCTATTGATTTTATAAAAATATAAATTTGTTAATGTTTGTAATTATTATGACTATTATTTTTTGTTAATACGTTACTGTTTAATTATGTTTAATTATAACTGGACCAATATTATAATGTGATCAAATACTTTTGTCATTTTATGTTATTTAATATAAAAAATTATAATTTACTTTCATATTATATTTTAAATAAATGAATAAAAAAAAATATTTGAACTGTTATCGTTGGCGGTTAATTTTTGCAGTACAAATTGAATTCACAGTCAGTGTAATATTGTTTTAAAATTTTAGTACAGTATATTATATAGATGGTATATCCTATGATATGTTTATTAGGTTAACAAAATAAATATTAATTGGGGATATTTTCAAAAAATATATAAATTCATTTTATGACTAAAAAAAAAAACGTTATAAAAAAGGTTCAGGGGTTTTTGAAGCATTTTAGGTAACAAATTTTTACTTATTTTGGCGAAATTCGGAGTATAACCTTTGGCGGAAAACGGTGACGCCCAATTAAACTTCTTGTCGAATTATTATACCAACAATCTGTTCATAAATCACAAGTCCATGCAAGTATCCGGTAATGATGTACTGTAAGTTTATAATTTAATCATCATAGAGGTACCTCATCAAGAGGTACTCATTGACTTCAAAGTAAACACCAAATACGTGTACAAAATAAACAAAATTGTTAATTGCAACTTCCTTTTGTGAAGTAAAAAAATTTGTATTGTTAGGATATTAGATAAATAAAAAAATATTCACTTATATTATGTGAGTAAACTTAATAAAGTACTCAAAAATGAAATACAACATTTTTTAGTATATATTATGCATTTATGAGTTTGAGTAGAGTGCACTGAACTCAATATATGGAACGCGTATTGCTTATAAAAATGTACCCCGGTAGGAGGCTGCCTTTTTATGTACAGTTATTGTTTTCCTATGATTTATTACATATTTGATACATTATACTCACATCAAATATTATTACAGAACGGATTTTGATTTGTTTTCTACTACTAATGTTACAAAATATTCACTAAAGACTACCCAGAAATACAATTCGATTTCGGTTATGTTGTGCATTAAAATAATTTGAAACAGCGAATGTTTTTTTCATTCGACCACGACGCTTTCTTGATTTCCTCGCAGACCACCAACGGCTCATCAGCTTTGAGGGCTTCCAAATAAAACACATTTGAAGAGGTTATTGCCCACGGCACGCTAAACTTTATCTTGTAATCACTATCGGTCGGCCTTACTTGATTGCGATTGACCGCCAAGTAAAACTCGCCCTCGGTCCCCGACGACGAGTCTTTACGGCCACACGATCGAATGGTCGCCGGATTGCTCTTTGTGATTCTCAAACCATTCGGAGACGTTATCTCTTTACATTCTTCAGCGGTCCATTTACCCCAGTTTAAAAACGAATCACGTACTTCCAAATAACTGTCGTCGTCGTTGTACGTTATCGTAATGTGTATCCATTGCTTATGCGAAAAAAGCTCAATAGGCGAAACAGATCCATTGAAACGATTGGAGTCGGACGTCGTATCAACGTTTACCAGCGAAGACCGAATGCTGGCCATAGCCAAAAACATCAAAATTAATCGGTACATGATCGCGAAATTGCTTTATGTAATGTACGTACAAGTGGGCACAGTCTGTGATTTGTAGTTATACTGAATGTATGCCTGCTGAATCGATCGAATATATACCTACCACAGAATCGCCCGAAAGGCGGAAATATATTTTGTACCGGACAAAGAATTAGTATTATAAACAGCTATATAATTTTTGCTCGAGTGGCAAAAAATAAAACAGGTTAAGTAATCAATGAGACTGATAACTATTCATCTCTATTAGGATACATGTATATTATACTATGGTCTATGCGTTTATAATATTATTTAGAACAATATGAAAAACAATTACAAACAAACAGGAAATAGTTTTCTAGTCAAATTAATTAGTCATTTTTTAAATAGTTCCTACCGATAATCAATAAAAACGTGTGCATATTGCCTAATTTTTCAACAAGCAACTCAAGTGGCAAAAAATAAAATTAGTTTAAGTAATCAGTTTTTTGTTATATTTACATTACAAAATGCAGTAATTTACTCGACCGTCGAATGCATAAAGTGTCCAGGTCGACTCACCGAATTCATGTTATTACTGCGATAAACATATAAATTCGGTCAGCCGTCATATACAAAAGTGTGTAGCTCTATTACTATATAGCTACCGAATTTACGGTATTTTATTGCATAAACAGAAAATTTTATATTTTATTTCAAACGACCTACTTTATGTTATCCTAGAAAAAACGAAGAAATTTGGTCAATTGTTGTACATCAGATTATGGAACGTAGACTTTTGATTTTTAACATAGTTTGACCTCATAACTAGAAAGATAAACATATGTATATATATATATATATACCTATATGTATATTATACTTTGCATTTACATATATTTTTTCATGAACAATTTTACGTTCTTTTGCCGTTTTTTTAACGTTACAACCCGATTTGCAGCAACTATTAAAAATATGTAACTCGACCTGCCAACTTTACTTTACCTTAATGGAATAACGTCGATTTTTAATCTGTAAAAAGTCGCTGAAAAAATTATAACAACTTTATTGAAATTACGTCTTTAAAACGAATAATTATGCTTATTTTCTTCTAATGTTGAAGGTGTATATATTTCCGTGTATTATAAAACCGTGTCTATGTGTCTGTATGTATTTTTACAATCGACTGTCATATTTAAAAACATGTAAAACTATCACCTCAATTTTTAACATTAAAACTCAATTGGCATAAAATAAATTTATTATTCTTAATTATTTTCAAATGTTATAATTGCATAATGTAAAATAATTTAGAACAATATGAAAAAAAATACAAAGATACAAAAAAATATAAAGAAAAAAATACAAAAATTACAAAATAGGTAATAGTTTTCTAGTCAAATTAATTAGTCATTTTTTAAATAGTTCCTACCGATATTCAATAAAAACGTGTGCATATTGCCTAATTTTTCAACAATGCAACTCAAGTGGCAAAATATAAAATTAGCTTAAGTACACACATATATTATACTATGCGTTTATATATATTTTGTCAAGAACAATTTTACGTTCTTTTGCCGTTTTTTAAACGTTAAAACTCGATTTTTAGCAACTTTTAAAAATATGTAACTCGAACTGCCAACTTTACTTTACCCAAATGGAAAAACGTCGAAATTAATTCTATAAAATGTCGCTGAAAAAATTATAACAACCTTATTAAAATTACGCCTTTTAAAACGTAGAAATATGCGTTTTAATTTTTAATTTTCATTTATCTGTTCATTAGCTATGACTTTATAAAGATACTCCTCCATTTCCTCTTAATAATTATTATATTTTGTCGGTTTTCCAAACCCGGTAGCACATAAATTTCATATTTATGTTCCCATTGTCTAATTGGCGATAACATTCTAACAACTAGGAAATCACTATAAAAGATTTTGAAATAATGATAGACAAACGGTTCTTATCTACAGATTACTAAGATTACAGGATATTTATTCTGTAAATAATCATATTTTCAGAGAAAATAAGTGTCCTACGTTAGTTGGATCACTCCATGTATACATATATAAATATAGGTAATAATAAGCTATAATAATTGTAGGCTGCTGGCGAAAAGAATCATTTGGGGTGGAGCAAACACTTATCAAACCAAAGTTATCAAACGTTAATGTTGTATTTTAATATACAACATAATAATTTTTTTTTTTTTCAATCCGTAGATTGGTTGAATGATGAAATTCTCCTCTTCGTCCTCTCTTTTGACGACCTTTTATTGGCAGTCCTCACCCGGAGATCCGAATGGGGGACTCTTTACCTCTACAACCATCATCATTTCATCATTATCCTCAGGAAAGATAATGCAGTAGTTTTCTCTTGCTTTCTGCATCGCATAATAATATACACACAAATTAGCTTCAGTACTAATAATTTTACAATGTATTGTTCTGAATTGGGGAATTTTTATTCAGTGCTTCAGATATACCTATTATTTTACTAGGTATTGTTAATTACATTTGTTATAAGTACAATTTTTTTTAACAAAAATGTAAGTATTTCCTATTTATTTAAAAACTAATTGACTACGCCCATATGATAATAAACAAATTGGTATTTATTCTAGGTAGGTATTCTACTATTAATTATAAAATAAAAAATTAAAATTTATCGAAGTACAGAAAAAATTTAAATAAGTATTTGGAACTGGATTTTTTTTTAGGCTTAATGCTGTTTTTTAAAATTTGAAAAGTTAAAATAATTGAACCTAAGATATGTAAAAATGAAAATTTTTTTTAAAACATCAAAAAGTATATTATATACAGAGTTAAGTAATAAAATTGTGTAAAAATAGTTGTTTTAGGCCATTTAGAAAATTCATCTTTTTAATTGTGGCTTATTAAAAAAAAAAACTTTAAAAGGTTTAAGTATTAATTTCTTTACTATATGTTATTTAATATATAACCAAGAGCTGCTTAACATTTTTTTTCCATATAAATTCAATTTTTATGCAAGGAGTTATTCTTGGCGTTGTAAATATCTAAATTATTAAATACAAACTATGGTTCATACAGATTCATTATTTTCTTATCTTAGTTGCTTTACAACCCAACATTAAATATTTTTTTTACATAAATTAAAAATATTTAATTATATTTCAATTCACTATTATATTTAACCTTTTAAATCATATTTCATATAAACTATATTTTGGTGCGCACTAATATTAAATATTATTACAGAACGGATTTTAATTTGTTTTCTATTTCTTTCAGAGCTTGTTCAAAAGATCTCCGCTTATATCTGAATCTGTACCAACAAAACTTACCCACGATGAACTAGAATATAGTTAGATGATTTGAAAAAAAAAATGGTTAATTTATTATTTAGTTGTCTATTTAATCAAACAAATATTATAACTATTACAAAAATATATTTTTTTTAACAAGACGTATTCACTAAAGACTACATTAATGCCCGAAAATATCGTTTTTGTTGA